ATCACCGGCCATTATCATTCTCATCTCGTGCCCACATGCGCACGCTATCCCTCCTACATACCATTGCAGACACGTAACGGTGCATGCCTTTCGCTACTACACACATAAATGGCTCTAGGTGACACACCTGCATAGCAAACACAATATGAACAAACAAACATTGCTTTTAAAAATATAAAACAAGGAACTATCCAGCAGGATGTAGAGATGTTATCGTGGTGAGTGTGTCGCTGCACTTGAAAACATTTTAGTTTTCTTTGCAGAGATCCGAGTGTTTCTTCTTAATAAAATGGACTGAGGGGGGCAGCAGCACAAGCATTACAAGCGTTAAGGTCCCATTACATCCTTGCAATACAACACTGAGGGATTAACCATATTGTGAGGCAAAGGCCTGTGAGTCTTTGAGATACTTTATTAGATAGGACAGACATAAAGGTGGGATATTAGAATCTTTTGTAAGCTCTTTATTGGTTGGTGTAGGTTCCAGGAAATACACTTTGACACAAAGTAACTGAGTAACCCTAACACTGTGTTTGAGGAGCTTGACATTTGCTTTTGTAATTTTTAATAATATAAATGTATTACATTTAGGATATTACATAAGAAAGATATAATCACTTTAGAAAATATGATGCCTTGTCATAGATAAAACAACCACACAAATACAGTTTGTGAAGCATATAAGGTTAGCTTCACATTGAGGATAACATTAAATTCATGCATACTTAATGGGTAATATTTGGCTATTGATACAATAATATAATGACAATAGCTATTATGTGAGTGTGCATATAATACACACTCAGTACTTTTATTACACCGTTCATTGAGACTGTGAATATTATAGTATAGTAAGGTATAGTATAGTATAGTAGCATAACATAGTATGCCATAGCATAGCATAGCATAGCATAGCATAGCATAGCATAGCATAGCATAGCATAGTATCTTAGTAGTGTTAACATTTTAGAAATTTGAATGCACCCCAACATAAAACAATTTTAAAAAAGTGTTTATAAAAAAAATGTGTTGAAAATGTCAGCAGGATAGAGTTAACAAGCAGCAGGGTTAACACTTCAAAAACTGTTCCTCCAATGTGTGCCACAACTATAAAGAGAGAAAAGATCACCCTCCCTTTATGTCAATAATCAAGATGTCGTGTAAGCCTTAAATGACAAAACACACTTCAGTAGAAAACCACTCACACCCTAGATGTCAATAATGAAGCATTTAAATCATAGGACAAACACCACTTGACACATCTAACATGTAATGGCATAAATGGCTTGGATGGGCAAATATATTAGATCATCGGCGTACTGTGTACTTAACTAATCTTGAAAATATGTTAAAGCTAGCTATGTGTGGAAGCTGAAGATGAATATTTTAGAGGACTGTAAGTGTGCAGTGTTCACTTTAATGTCTCCACATGAGGCATACTTAGGAATGTTTTGTTTGGTCCATTAGTCTATACTTCAAATTAGATCCAGGTAAAGAGTAATGGCCATTTACAGGGCATTGACAGACATATATTGATGCAGAGTGCTGCATCCCTGAGCTTTAAAAAGTCAAAGACTGTCTCTCTGTCTCTTTGTATTCACAACTGCAACGATTCCTCTCTTGCTCTGCAGCAGCAAACAGCTTTTCACTTCCTTCAAGGTTAGAATGTCATTTCTTTCTTGTTTCCAACATCTTTATTGTCGGATTTGCTTGGCAACATCTGAGCTTCCAATTCAAATGTTATTTTTTATGCAATTTTCATTTTTACCATAAATACTAAAGTCTGCCTCCAGTACAGAGACAATAAAAATCAAAGAGCATATAACCACACACACACACACACACACACACACACACACACACACACACACACACGACACACACACGACACACACGACACGACACGACACACAACACTACACGACACACACACACACACACACACACACACACACACACACACACACACACACACACACACACACACACACACACACACACACACACACACACACACACACACACACACACACACACACACACACACACACACACACACACACACACACACACACACACACACACACACACTGGAGGGAGCATTTAGACTGCAGTAATTACCTATAAACCTTTTATCTGCATCTAAGGAATCTTATTATTCGATTAGTGGGACTGGAGTGCCTACTGTCAGCTACCGGCCCCCTATGTGCCGGTCCCTAATGCCTCACCCACCCCTTCTCTTCCCTACATTACCACATAGAATCACCTACATTCTTTAGAAATATATTTCCTTTGCCTCAAGCATAAGCTACTCTAACAGCAAGCCCTAACACACACAAAAGGCTTACAAGACCAACTACGTAAAAAGACCGCACACCATTGTTCTTACTAAATCCAATCTGTGAGTGAGCAAAGAGGGTTAGAGTGAGCAAATGGCCGAGAGTGTAGGGAGACAGGGAGAGGGCTACAGCGATTAATGCATTACATTAAATCCCTGGCACAGACAAGGTCTCTCGTGGTGGTGTACAATACACAGAGGGAGATAAGGGTAGTCTGAAAAGCTTTCCATCTTTTATACTTTGCCCCCTTCTGCTTTTATCTGGAGGTTAAATATAGTATTTGATGTATGTAGAGAGAAAGTGAGAAAAAAAAGAGAAAAAAGGAGACATCTGTGACAGAATCAGAAATAGCAGACTGCGGCGGGTTTTATGAGAGAAGGCAGCTTTCAGCCGAGTCCCTACTCTCAGTAAAACAGACGGGAGGGCCGGCTAATCCTCAACAGTGTAACTACAGATCTCCACTGAGAGAAAGAGATGAGGTAGCGGTGAAAGCAAAAACGAAAAGTGCAGTGCTCGTCGTTCCTCACTGTAAGCACAGTGTGGTGGGATGGGTGTTGGCCCCAGTTAGCAACAGATGAATCACAAACCTGTAAAAGCTCCCTGGCTCTGGCAACTGGCCAAACTCTAACACACAAATATAAACCAGCAGTCAGGTCCACTTATACAGATGAAAAGTGAATTTAATTGAATACTCCTATAAATGGATAGAGCAACTTAAAGAAATGCAGAGAAAGACAGAGGGAGAGAGAAGAAGAGGAGGGGTGGGCAAGGTCTTTAGTGCAGCGGAAAGAGAGATTGCATCATCACGTTGCTTTATTAACGGGTGTGACGTGATCTGACTGCTGAGTGGTACACAGTGAGTCAGCGAGACCAACCAGTGGGACACGGACACACACACACACACACACACACACACACACACACACACACACACACACACACACACACACACACACACACACACACAATCATGATTTTAATAATAGAGTAGCATCTATTCTAGGTTCTTAGGCAAGCTACGTCCATTTCAGAGCTTTTTCTGAGCTCAGAGACAGCTGTGGGTCTTACAGGATGAAGTCACTCTGCCAGACAGTCTGTGGGCTTAAGGGTAGTGCATTCACATATTCCAACATATTACTGGTATTTATACATATTGCCGACTTTCTAATCTCCTCAAACCGATAATCTGCAGCAATGAGAGTGATGTTGATTTGATGATATTCAGAGATTTTGACCTTGTCATGCATATAGTTCGGATACATCTTGTGTTCTGACATGTGTCAAGTAGGTGTTTAGATATATAGTTGGACATTTCTGGGAAATGTTCTTGCCAAGTGTAACATGAGGAGATTAACACCAGTTTTACACTGTAAATGGTCATGACAGACAGGAGACGGTTAGATTATCACAAATACTCAAAGCGGGGAGAATACCATAGGAGCATTTCTTAAACTATCAAACTATTCCTTTTACACCCCTCTACATTTCCTGGCATCAAATGGAACATATGATTTGTAAGTTAGTTATTAGAATATTGAAAAGCATCTAGCGTCAATTGTCTGGTTAAATGTGTAATCCAGTTTACTTCTTAATATATGAGAGGCTATTTTATTAGGAGCAAATTTATTTGTACAGCTTCTCGTTTGGACAGCAATTAACATTTGAGGACTTTGAAAAAAAAGGTTTACCTTTGTCAAAGTAAAGTCAACTTTGGGTATCAATTTAGCGATCATTTTCAAACTAGCCCTCTTCTGTGATACCTATTTTGTTACAGTGATCCTCTAAATATCATCCATCCTTGATTATCCCATTCCCAGCTCGCAGGATGGAGCCATGAACTGTAAGCTCCTGATATAAGACTAGATCTCTTGTCAGCCAGAGTTCAATGGATGCAAGGAATCCCGTTCTGGTCTATCTGCAGTTCACTCAGTCATGGACACAGGAGATAAACAACACAAATCAAATATGACTCCTGAAGGAGCCATTGAGAAACTAATGCTCCCCCACCACTCTTTCCATCCCTCCCTCCTTTCCCATTTACTTTTCTTTCTCTTTATCGCCTAGTCCCTCGTTATCAATCCTGTTGCATTCTCTAAGCTCTATTTCTTTCTAAAGCAGTCTCCAGCCTCCAAGGGTTCAGCCCCTTCTGTTGGCTCCATCCTTGACTCTCCCTTCCCCACTCTATCCCACTGCTCTTGATATAAGCCGTTCTGCCACAGTGGGAAATGAGATTACTGGGATCCATATAGCATCAGACCACAAGTTCCATTACATAATGCAGACAGACAGAAGAAAAAGTGATTGTGGGTGCATGTGCATTTGTGTGTGTGATTATGTGTATGTTGGATTAAGGTCGTTAGAGTTTTAGCCATCCAGATTTGTAGTAAATGTTGGGAGGATAGCCACGTTGTGTCAGTTAATACCGATTAACACCGAAGACCCACATAGATACACACATACACACACACCACAAACAGTGGAAAGCAACATTGACATTTAGATGACATCAGTGTGAGTGTGCGTGCGTTCAAACCACAGCGGCAGAATTGCTCAAGCTTGATATTGCTCTGGTAAAACCAATATAAAATTACACAAAATACTGCGGAATATTATGTATATGCATGCAAAAACAAATGATAAAGAAGAACACTCTTTACTTAACTTCTGACGCTAAGTTGAAATAGGGGGGAATGTTGAAAAGAAAAAAACAGGGAAACTTTGACTTTAAGTACGAAGTAAAAGCACTTATTAGGCAGCAACATTGCTCCTGTAAGTGTAATATTATTTGCCTATATTTAATAATCCATTACTTTGTAGATAAATAAATCTGTAACAATGCTTCAAACATTAGAAATCGTAAATCTTCAAGGTAATACTGCAACTGGTTCCTACAGTATGTGACCTGACTACGGATAAGCAGTTGAAGATGGATGTACAGTATGTTTAAAGTAACCAGTATATATAGCCATCAATCAATGTTCAGCATATTCATTTAACAATTTGGCTTCTTATATAAATGAGCATAACAAATAAATTGTCTAGTATAACAAACACCTAAAAACTTGTACTGAATATAGTTGCTTTACAGTTGTGCATGCATGCATGCATATGTGTGTGTGTGTACCCAGAGATCCAGTCCTGTGCAGGCTCAGGTAGGCTCTGTCTCTCTCCAGCCCCCCACCCGGCTCTCTGCGCAGAGCGGTGCGGCCCAGATGACCGGCATATTGACGCAGGAAGGAGGGAGCACTGTGTGAGGCCGGGGGGTGCACGGCACACACAACCATGGGCTCTGAGACACGCGATGCAGATGGAAACGAAAGGGAGACAAGAAGAGAGTGCGAGAGAAGGCAAGAAAGTGAGGGCAAAGCTCAGAAGAGAAGCAGGTTGGCAGAAAACAACAGATAAGAAAAATACAAATAGAAAAGGAAAATAGCATAAAGGCAAGAAGAGAAGCGGCAAAATAGAGACAGGCAGATAACAGAAATTGAAATAATAAACAGGAGAAAAAGACAACACAGGGTCACACAGAGACCAACCACAGACAGATAGCAGAACATGTACAGTAGGCACAGTGCAATGTGTAGTCGTGATAGATAGAATAGTGAGAAATGATACCGCTGCTGTACTCATGTCAGAAGAGAAAGCAGTTGTGACACAGTATCAGAAATAGCCATGGAAGGCATGCATGCAAAGGGGAAAATATGTTGATTTATGGACAGAAACAAATGAGAAATGGGGAAAAGAGGGTAATGCACACAGAAAACTAGCAGATGAAATGTAGAGAGCAGGCAACAGAGGAAAGGGAGTAACTGAATACTGATGGAAGGACTAGAGAAGATATTCGTATAACTGCTGGGGGTAAAATCTAACCCAATAATAAACAACTGACCTAGTACCTCACTCCTCTCCAGTACGTGTCCAACCCCCTGTCAATAAATACGTATCATCTCCTTTCTTTTACATTCATTGACATTCATGAATCATTTGTGCAGAATGTGGGTGGAAGCCCACTTGTCGCGTCTCCTATGTTTCAAATAATTCCCTAATTTCCGCCACATTGCACTGCAAATTCCACTGTGATCCCTGAGTATTAGGGTTTGATGTTTCTCTAAAGTCCTCACATGACGCCCTCACAGTCTCACCTCCAAACACAGTTCCTCAAAGATCACAGAAGTAGAACAGCTCTGCGGTTAGCACCATCTAATTAGCACCTTGAAAAATGTGGGGAGTTGTCCTTTTGCACTGTCTGACTAAGATATATAGGGATGTGGGGGTCGGAAGAATGATGCAGCTAGGGAAAGGGCAAGAGGAGATGTTGAATACAAGATGTAGTGCAGTTGTTAAAGTTTAATATCCCTCTCCTCATCCTGTACATCACTTCCTCTATCCAACTCACTCTTCTTGCTCCCTGTGCTTTCTGGAAATGACCTTGGTTCACGTTATTAAGACCAAAGAGCGAGATGTAAAAAACTAGGAGGAGGATGAAAGCGGTGACAGGGAGTGAAATTAATCAGGCATATGTATGGTTGTTGCTGCCAACAAAAACCAGTAACAAAGAACAAACATTTCTTTTTTCTTGTATGAAAACTGCAAATCTGCTACATCTCAGTTTTTCTTCTGTCTGTCCTTCCTTTCGCTTTGTTTTGGGGACAAAGCATCTTTTGAAACAGAGGCAACCTTTTGGGCTATGTTCTGACTTTATTTCTGTATAGAGCCTGAACATGAGGAGAACACATTCAAAGAGCACACACACATACACCGCATTTATGTCAGGTAAGGGCTCAGATTTTTTTTAATAGGGGTCCTGCAATCCTTGAGGGTGCCCAGCAGATGGCACCCACAGTTGAGTCAAGAATGACATTGCTTTTTAGCACTTCTATTTAGAAGCTAAGACATTCTCTTTTGCTCATGTGAATACACAAATTGCTGTATCTGAATCTCAACATAGCTTCGTGAATTCAGATACAATTCAAGTCCTTTCAGTCCTGATGAATACCACGTTATAAAGTGAAGCGAAGGTGATGCGGTTGATGATGAGGTGAAGATGATGAAGGTGGGTTGAAAGTTAAGTTTTGTTATGCATGTAAGTTATGTATTTGCAATGTATGCTTTCATTAGAGAAGCGCACATTAAAGATATTAAAACACAAACATTATTGAAACACGGGCACATGCTGCTTATAAGATACTAACATTAACAAACACATTATTTCGGGGAGAGGCTCATTGTAAATAAAAGACATACAAAAAGGAAAGGCAATACAATATATTCTGTCATGATTTTGAAAAACCTTCCAGCATCGATCAGTTAGGAGCTCTATTTTGACTCTTTCTCCCTACACCATCATTTGAGGACCACAACATTAGATACTGCTTCTTCATGTACTTAAAAAGCTAAACATGAAGAATCACTGTCTTAAACTGTTGTAGCACACGAGAAATGACTCTTTAATAAGAAGTCAGGTCTCCTGTACGCTAAGAAGGTAACCATAACAGATGCTGGAGTCAAACTAATCACTGTGTGTCTCCTAAGAGGGTCATGGAGGTGACATAATTACTCTTCGTGATAATGACAAAACAAGCTGCCTGACTTTTTAAGCTTTTTATTCCGACAGTGATGCCGTATTGACATCCAGTAAACAGATATATTCAAGTTATTTGCATTCATATTTTGAAGGTTGAAGCCAGCTGCAAAGTTTGATAGTTCCCTTAATGCAGGGGTGTCCAAACCTTTTTCACCAAGGGCCACATACAGAAAAATATACGAAGGGCTGGGCCACTCACTAGAGGTATATTGCCTCATAAGTTCAGTTACAAGTTAGCAAAATCAATCAAATGTAGGTAAATTATGCTTGTGAGTGTTGGCAGCTCATCCCTTAAAACAGAAGCCTCAGATTGATTATAATAAGGAGAAATATGAAGGGTGTATTTCAAGCTTTTTATGTAAATAAGTCATTGGGCTTTTTTCTTATCAACTAAGATATGTAAGAAAATGTTTCCAACTTGAATTGACTGAATTTATTTGAAAAGCGGTTTTATTAACACATGAATACTACTGTGTAATATATTTTTACATTTATATTTAAGAAGTACAATATAAGACAAGCACAAGTTTCATTTGTGGGCCGTATTCCATTATACTTTTTGAATTTGATGAGGGCCGATTCAAAATGGTCAGCCTGTCCGCAGGTTGATACGACGCCTGAGTTCGATGACACCCTGGCCTGAGTTACATCTGCATGCCTCTGATATGGTAGCCTGCATAGACACCATGAAGAACCTGTGTTTGCGTGCACTTGAGCCTCACCATTGTCCCTGGCTGCGGACGGCTCATCCAAGGCCATCTGTTCAGCCAGTTCGGACAGGGACTCGTCGACGGGCCGAGCGCTGCGTAAAGACATGGACAGCCTTCGCTTGATTATCTTCATCCTGTCCATCTTCCCACCGCACCACCAGGGCCCACAGGCCTGAGAGGAGAGGGGGAAAAAACAACATGGTCAATATCGTCATAGCGCCCCCATCATTATAATCATGTCCGTCATTTAAACCATCAACAGCTATATCCACACTGCACTGCTAATCTACATTGTACGGTGAAACGACTGCATTGCAGCCTCTGCGCATTTTCTACAGTTCTTTGGGCTCCCGATGATTGTGTTTGCTCACGCAGCGTGTGTTCTCATTGTTATGTTTCCCAAGAGCAAACATTGCAGAATAAAAGACACAGAATGAGAGAGCAGACCTAGAGAGAATGGGAAAAAAAGAGAGCAACAATCAAATGTAAATGTAAAAAAAGCATGTAATTGGCTGACTATGCAGTTCCCTGGAGGCTTCAGACAAGAGCAGCTTTCCATGATGAGCTGTGATTGACATATCGAACTATCCAAGATGACGTCATGGTATCATACCGTATACATCCACATTATTTCAATGCAAAAATAACAGCATTTTTACTTGAACTGATTTTACAGTAGTCCAAACTAAGCTGGAGTTCATGTGGCGCCGACCAAACAACTGATTTCAAATACCTATAGACAGTATACTGTGTGTAGTCATAGGAGATAAAAGCATCCCATTATAAAAATAAAAGAGGGAGGCAATATTGTTTTTCCAGCAAAGTGCTATTCATTTTCACTGGTGGCTTACATATGTATATTGTGTTTGTAAGGGTAACGTCAGTAAGCATTCAAAGTTATATATTCTTTAGAATGCCCCTCAGCAGACATTTGAGACCTGGCCTAAGTGTTTATGTACAGTATGTGCATAAGGACAGTACATTTTGCATGAGTCTATATTGGAGTGCTGATGTCACTCTGTGTTCGTTATGTTCCTCTACGCTTTCCTGGCCCGAAGGTAGAGGCAGCTAAAGCAGAGTACTTCTGTCTCTTTCCAATTCCTGCTACTTCTAACACAGAAGGACACACACACACACACACACACACACACACACACACACACACACACACACACACACACACACACACACACACACACACACACACACACACACACACACACACACACACACACACACACACACACACACACACACACACACTCTCTCTCTTTGTGTCCAACCTTGGACGCTTCAACAAAAGCCATTCATCCTCAGGCTCTCAGTCTTTCAGGCCTATTAGAGACAGCCAGTGCTCTGAGGGAATTCAAACGCAGCGATCTTCACTCAGGACGACTTTTCCTAGAGAAGACGCGCTCAGACGAGGATCCATTGCTAACAACATTGCCTCTGCCAATTTACATGAGCCCAGTTGGCTAAGGTTTTCACCTCAGCCAGAGGCGTTTCTCCAAGACGGAAAAAAAGTTTTAAAATGGGACAAAAGAACCGAAGGAGAGCGACTCGCATTCATTTCATATCATCCGTCACCCATGGATTATCAGTATGAAGTGAATTTCCCTCCCCCCCTCATTTGCATGCTTTCCCATCCTTCACTAGAGAAGAAGCCTGCCCAGACAAGGCGATTGGGTTCCCCTCATGCCACCTTGCACCCATGATCCAGATTTTCAGTAAAAAAAATGACTCGCATTACGTGGGAACAGCCGATATTATGCACCGCTTATAATGCAGATAATTACATACTAGTGTTATCATTAACACACACTCACACTCAGATCCGGGTATGCCCACACACACAATAATGACTAATTTCACAGTCTTCATCTTATCTCTGTTGAATTTGCTGGGAACAGTAATGCAGTGGGAAACTCATTACCCAGCGGCTCATAGAGGGAAACACTTCAGGGTTCCACTTTATGATATGTACTATAGTTGAGATTTCCAATTTATTTTTAATATGTTAGAATAATGTAGTCTGTATTTTTAACATACATTAAGAAAACAACATCCATGTAATTGGAATATTCAACAAAAAATCTACTTATAAATCTTCTATAACTCGGTTTTTCAACTCTTCCCACACAGCTCTAAAGAATATATTGTGAAATACCAGACATACTCCTCTGAAAAGTCCCAGTAGAAATGAGGTGTTGGATGTGCGTTGGATGTTGAGACTTGTGTGGTGCAGATGGACGTGGCAGTGTGAAGAGTTTGGCAGAGGAACAACAGTGAGTGGGACGAGACATGTGGCTCCAGGCTGCAGCATGTGCAGGCCACACTCACCAGACACCCAGCAAACCATGAACAACTCCGATACACAACTCCTACTAAACAGAGGGCCACATTCCAGATGACGAAGGCTGCTCTCACTCCTCTAAAGACACAACAAGCCCTTCTGCTGTTTTTGTTCTGTTTGAAAACAATACAACGCACTGTTGATGAATGTGCAAGTTGTATAGCATGGCCTGTGCAATACAAAAACACAAAAGTGTAAAGGCCAATAGGGTCACTCATATAAAGGTTAAAGAATAACACTTAGTAAGTTATTTGTGTAACAGTGTGTGAGCATGTGCACATGTGTTCCCAGTTGCATGGATGTGGTAGCATCTGAGGTGAACTGACACACCCCTGAGGAGGACAGAGGAGGAAGAAAGTCTGGGTTATTCAAGACACACACCATTTAGGTTGCTTGGTTACAGGCCCGGGCTGGAACCACAGTTTCTCTCTCTGGGGTGAGAAAGGAGAAGAAGAAAGGAGACAGCGAGAGGCTAAAAGCTGAGGATTCACAATTTATATTTCTCTATCATCCCTGTCATATGACACACACACACACACACACACACACACACACACACACACACACACACACACACACACACACACACACACACACACACACACACACACACATCAGCTACAAGAACTTACAGCCCTCTAGTGCTTGGGACGTCACACAGTGATGCAGCACTTGCTCTGGGATTCCTCCTTCAAATATGCCTCTATAGGAGTTAAAAGATTGAATGGACCTGAGGACCTAAGTCTGGAATACACACAAACACAAGCTAACTGCAAGTTTGACATTCACACATGTAGAAACAAACAATAACATAAATTACTTTTATCAGAACAGAAGGGACATTTTCAACAGCTTGGCCAAGACTGAGATCTAATGTTGCTTCTGCCTTTCTTTCCTTGTTTCATAAAAACAAAGGAGCATTCTGCTGTAATTCATTGGCACATGAATCATACACATGCACACACTCATATACAATGTGGCAGAGTGGAATGGGCACTCAGTGGCACTCCAAACATAGCTTTGCGTGGCGGCCAGCCTGAGGATGCATGACTAATGCACAAATCTGCCCAACTACAGAATCCTACACACATCCACACAATCACAGGCGTAAACCAAAAAAGTCTCTTTATAAGCTCTTCTGCCACTTAACCTAAATCTCCAGAGATAGATGAGAAGAAGGAATTATGGAAAGAAGATAACTGAATGAGCCAAAGCACAAGATGGAAAAAAGACAAGGCAAAATATCTGAATTGCCATTCTCAACCACGAGAGGAGGAAGGAAAGCAAGTGTCCCCCTAAAATTTGTTTGGGGAGGTCTGGCTTAAATCAGTCTCATTAAATTAAATTAAATATTCTGCTATCTATATAGCAGATGTATGCAAACATACACGTAGTCATTACATCCCTGTTAAGTGTTGTGATCTGTGTACACCAGACCAAACTTTTCACACATTACATTTTTAGCCTTAATTATTTAATTTGGAGGAAAGCAATTATCCAAAATACACAGATACAGGTGCACCATTTGCCACTGGTAACACAGAAGGCCTAATTGGTTTCAGGACATTACAGCGAACATAAACTCATGCAGGAAGCCTCACTTGGCATACAAATAGGTTTTTAAAAAAAGAGTCATACATTCGTAGTGTTTTTAGATACTCCTGTCGAGGCCCTTACCAAAACTGTAATCCAATTGCCATTATAAAAGACTGTTATACATTAAATCAAATACAATGAGAGTAATAACTCGGGGCTGAAAGTGCAGAATGATAAGAGATGGTTCAATCGTGTTGTATCGGAAAGGCAAAGGCATTGGCGGATGCGCATGATTTTCGATCCGGACATCCCACACGGAGTGTTTATCTGAATAATTTAGAGCTAAATGTCATTCCAAACACTCCGCTGAGAAATTATGTGTTCGCCTACATTATTTTTTCTTAAGGCATTAACTGTTCATCCTATGTTGGTGTTACACGGATTGCAATCGGCGATCATCCACGAGGATATCGTCTACAGTGCGGGACCGCAGGACTGTACTGTCACATTTGCGGACGAGCTAGTGTCCTGACAATATCCCGTGTAACTAGACATGACTGCAGGCTAAGCGCACATAAGTGGGCAGCAAGCACGACAAATGTCACGGGACTATATCCAAAATTGTAGTTCGTGTCGGGCCTGCCTGCCTGGCTGGCAGAGATTCCTCTACCTTTCAGGCCTTTTGTGTTTTCGGTCAGTTTCTCTCGCCGTGTTTTCCTGACGCTAGTATCCGGCAGGAGGAGAGTCAGGCAAGGCAAAGAAAAGTTACCCAGCCACCGACCGGCTAACAAACTCAATGTGTATAGCACTGGAATCACCTCTGAGAGTATCCCGATGTTATGCTTGGGTATAAACATTGGTTAGGAACACGAAATCATTGTAATATGTTAAATACATAGCTCCAGGTAATTTGATTTCACTCGGCCTATCGTGTCCTTATCGCTATTTAACACGGTTTGTCTGCTGTGGTGTCACTTTCCTACAGCGATTCGGGGTTCGCAGTGATATGTGAAGTCTATCACCCCCAGCCCCCCCCCCACCACCATCAGTTCACATAGAGGCACATCCATGCAGTATAACCCCGTTAAAATCATCAAAAATACCTTTGTTTTGTTAAATCAGATGGAAAATAAGTCCACCTGCAATGTCAGGTTGATAGGACAATCGGGTTATGACTGCTTGCTGTCCCAACATTGTGGTAACACGATCAAAACGTGGAGTTCAGACATAAACAAACACAAATGCCGCTTCCACTGACCTGCTAGTGTTTCTGCAGCAAGGGACTATTGTTCCACTTCAGTATGGTAATCCAGGCAGCACGCTGGGATGAATCCACTGCGACAAGTTCCTCCAACTACTTTGCTGTAAAACACACCCGATTACCTACTACCACTCGGGTAAATCTTATCCCTGGGTGATACGATGTCTTGCAGTGTCCCGTCGCCCTGAGAAGTGCATCGTTGAACCGTAATAATGCACTATTTGTCTTAACTTTCGCTTATAAACAGCACCGTCCCGTCCGGTGATGATCAGCCATATCGCTGCTGCTGTGTGGATCCCAAGTGGAAGCAGTGGCGTGATCCCGGAAAACACCGCAAGGGGTGTGTGAGAGCTTGTGTGTGAGTGTGCGAGACTTTGAATTTGTGTACTCTCTAACCTCCACCCCCAACTCTCTTTCTCTCTCTTTGTAAAAAAAAAAAGGTCGGTCAAACTGATTAATTTGAGGGGCGGTGTCACCGGGGAAATTAGCCTGAATTATCCAAGCCCCATTCCCATTTTAAAAAGCTCAGAGAAATTCCTGGTGAATAATGCATAGACTGAAAATTATGGAAATTCAACGGTGATCCTCCACTGCTTAGTTGGTATCAGTGAGTAACAATATATAGGAATATTGCCAAATGTAGTGAAAATACATTTCCTAAGGTCCCGGAAATGAGAAAAAATGATGTACACGATACATTACATCACCAGCATATAAAACACAAGATGAGTTGGGTGGGTCAACTCCATTACATTTAATTAGAGCCCATTTACATTAATTAACATGCGTATTCTCCCTTTGATGTAAAATGGCTACTACCTTATTGGGTACTCTGAGTACTGATAACACAATTTTTCAATAACGTGCTTCAAATGTATTTTTGAATTAAATAAAAGTGATATAACATAAAGTGAACACTTTTCCCCGGGAAACACCAAGATCCATAACAATTACGTCAGGAATCACAGATGACACAGCAAACGCAGTTGATGAAGAACAGTCTGCCTTCTGGTCTGGACTTTACTGCCACCGTGTGGTTCATTTAAACAATGTTGCAGAATGTTTTCATTGATAGGACAGATTAATACACTTATCCTGTGAAAATCCTATTGTGACAGTTTCAACTAAACCATGTAAATTGCTATAGAAATGCAAGGTAGATCATATTGTTAAAGAACTAGGCTGCAGCAAAGTTTTAAGTGTGGAGGTGTTAATCTACACAAAAGTGAAACATTGTAGGTTTTGTATGGATTCCTGGGATTTTTTTAGATCATATCACATTTCATTTAAATATAATTAGTAGATTAGGTGGGCCCTCCACATATTTTACATATGAAGAATGCAGCCTGTAAAAACGTTTATTTGCTGTGGTTTCCCATGACCAAAAAAAAAATCTGACAACCTCAGTTTATCATTTTAACATATTTAAGATTATTGAAACAAATTAGGGCTGCCGGGTCCAAGAACATGTTTAGGATTAAAGGGTGGCCTTTTAAAAAAAAAGCTCTACTCTTGTAGTTTCCCCAATTTATATATTAATGGACAATACTGAACAATTTACCTCTAGAATCACATCCTGTAATTGTTTTTTTTAGAAAAAACGAGGTACTTGTACTTATTTATATATGTTACTTCAAAATTATATCTCACATAAGGAACATTATTGCATACTACTCCACTACCAGGCCCATTGGTTATACAAATCGAAATATTGTACCAATACACCAATGTTATATGACTCAACTACAAGGAAAAAATATGTAATAACATTTGACTTTGGTAAAAGTACAGAAAATACACCTTTATGGAGGATATTATTCTTTGACTCCACCTCTTCTGTGCATGTTAAAAGGTCAATGGTCCATATTGTTGCTCTGGCGTTGACCGTTAGAGGGCGCTAACCGTTTACTGAAAGAGCTAAGTGACGGTTTATGTGCTGTCGTTTATTTGCCCGTTGTTGTTAGGCAGGTTGTCAGGGGCAGCGCTCCAGTCAGTTAAGCTAGCAACACAGGATTAGGCGATTTTAGGGAATGATGACACATTTATGCATCAACGAAAACGACTGTCGCCAAACATGCATATTCACTCTGAAGTGCCCTGTTTGTTTGTGTAAAAGAAGCAGAGAAGACAGCGACGTTTTTAATCGAAAACGCCAGGGGTTTGCAGAGTGGTTGTCCCCGTAGCTAGCTAGCATTGCTAACGTCAAGCAGCCAGCTAATGCCATCAAACAGCTGTAAAGTGATAGGCAGTAACGCTACCCTGTAAATACATACCTCCAGTGTGCCAGTGCGGTCCTTTGGTGCGAAAATGGAAGACTCTCTGGAAGATTTACTGGAGCAGCATGGTGGCGACTGCGGCGACGAGGATCAACCATCGGCCCCCGAAGCCAAGTTTCGCTCCAGTCGGATGAACATCCAGAGAAGTAGCGTGTGCTCTCGGGCTTATTTCGTGGTAGTCATGGTCTTCTTCCATGTGTACATCCTGAATGTGATCGGCCTGCTGCTGTATGTGCACTATAACAACGGGCCCGGGGAACTTGTCAGTGAAGACGGAGCCCCCTCAGCCTCAATCAGCGACAGAGGAGCCGCTTTGCCCCATCCTGACCCCGCTGCAAGCGATCTGCACGTGGAGGACTACAGTCAGAGTGTCGGTCTCCCTCGCATTGAGGGGATACGGGTAAGAAAACCGTCATCATAACACTACGATGAAATATACCATTTCAACTCACTGGGGGAAATCCTACAGTGACTACAGTCAATAGGTTTTTTTTCCATCAGAAATGGACCCCTCCCCTCACATGATCCTATTCACGATCATCAGCCCTAACACTGGCTGTCCCTCTATTGTTTTACACACTGATACCCATCCTGTTACACGTATATTCATATTGTTATATCTCTCTACACCGTACTCTGCTGTTTATATATCTTATTTATATTTGTATGCAGCAAATTGTGCACTTTTATTCTGGTACAGGATTTTTTTTTTGTCAGCTTATTTTTTTAGATGTTCTTATATGTATGTATAGTTTCTTTATATGTAGGTGCTGACAGCTGAACATACTCATTTTATGTACAGTGCAACTGCCTGTTATACTGTATGACAATATAATATCTGGAATCTTAAACCAAAGTGAAAACAATATGGTTACTCATAGTTTGCATTAAAAGTATATTAAGTTGTAGGACTAATATAATTAAAACAAAAAACATCTGTGACAGTGTCAGGAATTATTTTCTACTCCCACTCAGGCTAATAATCACACATAGTCACCAACCACTGTAATCCCCAGCCCTGTCAATCACATCTGAAATGTTAATGACGGTCATTGATTGACTATAATTTTGCAGTTTAGATTCATCAGAGTTCAATGTAATATTGAGCTGCTATAGCAATTTCTAGATTGCATTTATTCCCGCTGATTATGAGTGTGTTGACAATGCTTCTTGTCCACCTGCAGGTGGGTCATGTTCAGCAGGTGTCCCTCCTGCCAGACCGAACACATGAGATGAGGACGATGAGCCTGAAACCTCTGCTGTTTGGTAAGAGCAAAGTGGTCTAAGGGTTTGATCTGCTGTTCATAAATACATTGCATTTCTTTAGGATTTAGAACACAACATTTATTTTTTTCTCAAAGCCATACAAATATAAACTAGCAATATATACTTAAAATTCACAGATATGTACAATTTTCTATTTAACATCTTTCTTTCTTTGAACGCTACTGCCTTAGAGACAGTGTTGGTACTTTATGGGCTCCTTTATGACCATATGACTGCATATTATCTCCTCCATAACCAGAGAGGTTAACAATGGATTTGTAATTAATAGACCAAGCATAATTGACCATCACAGGTATTCAGTTGAAATGTAAATGCTGTCCTTTCATTCAATTTCTGCATATCTGTTTAATGCTTGTTCCACAGCTTATTTTAATCGTAATTTTAACCATGCACATAAAACCTAGCTCCTGCATCTGTGATGTTTCCATTTGCGTGCAGCTGCCTTCAGGTTCTTGTGTCGTCTATGCCAGGCGAAAGCCTTAATGACCACCAGGCGCTCCCCGTGCACTGTGCCTGTTACCAGGAAGGTCCCGCCCCGTGGGTGGTGTCGCGTCATGTTCCTTAAACAGGTGGCATCCCTCTCCAGCCACAGCTCGATGCGGGACCGGATCTCCCCTCCTAACAGTGGTCCATGCTTTAGAACATCCAGCTTTGCAGCCAGCGAGTACTGAGACAGGCTAACTAGGCTGTCCTTGAGACGTTTTAGACGCAGTTTCAGAACTGGGAGGAAAGAAGATAAATAAAAACAAGATTGGCATCAACTTAATAATGGTTAGTATGTCAATGAATTGTCCAAAATGAATGTAAAACTTAGGAGACAGGACATATAAGAAGATTATTACTCACCAAAATCACTTCTACAAAATGTCTCCAGTACGTCTTTTGAAGAGGAGGCCTCTTCCAGCTCGCAATCCCGACAGCTTGCCTGAGGTGCTGAAAGGGTTAAAACACTAATTGAATCAACAACTAAATAAAGTCAACTCTACCAAATGTCTCTATGAAGCCAGCTGTTTACCTCTCCGCCCCCCTGTGTGAACAGTGCTGTTGGTGATAGAGGAGATACACATGAGGTGGTCTGCAGGATACTGGTCACAGCGCAGTATTTCTGGCCAGGGGTAGCCATAACAACTCATGATTGGTGCACAGCTGTCCCGTACAGATTCGCACAAACTTTTACAAGGCGATATAAACCTGATAAAGAAAAGATGCAGAGAAGAACATCGTCAGCTTTGAATAGATAAAAGGATTTGAAACAATCGTGAACTGGTGGGGAGCAAACAAGATGAGATTAAATCAAATTTGGTTGCTTGTTTTTGTAAACAGAGAGGTGCTAATGTGACATAAGGAGATTGAAGTCCTTTGATGGCTTGGTTTCTGTCTAAAATCAGGGCCTCTCCTCAGATACTAGCCCCAATTTGCATAGCTTTAAATGTGTTAACTGTTGACACTAGTCATTACTGATCATTCTCAGCCTACTGTAAGTGTGGTTTTAACTTTAATCCTGGCTAGCACACCACAACAATGGCAAACATTTCCATATAATACCTTGTGAGCACTGTCATGTGTACTTGACAGTTCCCATCAAAAGTAAAATTGACAATATATTTCACCGAATAAAGCTTTTTTGTGTACTTACCTGTCGAGGCAGATGGGTGCAAAGAGAGAGCAGAGGAAGATGCGGGCATCGGGGTGGCACTCTCTGGCCAGTAGTGGCAACCAGCTGGCGCTCTGTTGCACAGCTTCAGCTGGAGACTCGTGTCCCAGAAGGTTGGGCATCCTCATAGTGTCATATCCAATGTTTTGGCACAAGGCCATGCCTGATGGGATAGGGACACAGCGAGAGGAACTGCGGGGCTCCCATAGTCCACCCTCACCTATAGAAAGCATGGACCTGTAGCCAGTAGTAGCATCAGGCTCCCCCCACTCCTCAACATCCTCTCCTGCTGCAGCTCTTGGTCTAGAAACACGAATATCTCCAAATCCAGTTTCGGTGTTGCCCTCAATACTTGCCCTGTCCCCGCTTTTGTTTTTTACTCCAGATCTAACCCTTCCCTCAGCCCTCGCTCGTCCCTCCAGCCCTGCCCTTACTCTACCAAGCGCTATTGTGCTGCTTAGCCCGGCGAGCAGAAAGAGAAATAGTAGGGAGGCTGGAAGAGAAGACTTTCTGATTAAATAAGGGCAGAGCACTGCAGGCATCCTGGGGCAGAGGTTAGAAAAAAAGGAGATATCCTGAAGTGTTCTCTTGAGCGAATCACTGTGTGACAATGCAGGACAGGGCAGCAGAATAGGTGTATTTATAGTGGGCGGTGATTTGCATAGGAATGGGTAAGGGGAGGTGGAGGGAGAAGGGGTGGGTCGCGAATAAATATGTTATAAGAGATGTGGATCCACTTGCATTTATGAGCAGATTTAAGTGTGTTTGACAGGGCTTAGATCAGTAAGGTGGATGATTTGGCATTTCAATCCTCACAGCTTGTATTGAGGAAGTTCCTGGCTCTCGTGGAGTAAAAATTCCTCCCATCCATTCCATCCTGCATTTTGCTCCAACTCGCACTTAACCACCTTCTCCCAGCCTGACCTCTTTGCCCTGCACTTTCCTGTTTAGAGTACAAAACATGTATGTATGTATTATTGCTCATGAGAGACAGAATACGCCCATAATAGGTAGGGAAAAATAAGACTAAACTCCAGAGCTACAACCTTTCAAGAGAAAATAATCGGCATACATATTATTTTTCCTGATCCTCAATTCAACTAAACTGAACACTTTGGCCTTTTTATTGTTGGTCATAAAAAACTTTATTTGTTTTTTTACCAGATGAAAAATTAACTAGTTAGAGAAGAATCTGCAAATTGAACAATACTGAAAATAATCAGTACTTTCAGCTCTAGTGTGTTTTTTGTGTGTATTCACACAAGTACACACAAACGTGTTTAGGACACAAACACAGTTTGTGTTGTCGTGCTGTGTAGCCATGGCCTGAATACTGTTCAGACAAGCAGGTCACTTCCTTTCCGGGGGAGGAAGAGACAGTGGTGGGAGGGAGAAGAGGAACGTTCAGGCCCCCTTCATTCATATCAGTTATCCAGATTAATGAGGCATGACTGGACAATAGGGATTAACCAAGTTGGTACAATGTCAAAGACACGGGTGACAAACAAGGTCTCTACTGTACAGCAGCCAACCTGCCGGAAGCCTTTTATTAAGAGGGGAGAATGACTGACAGGCATGAACGGATCGCTGAAAGAGAACAACAGACTACCATGACACAGTAATTTGTACATTCACACTTAGATCACAATAACTCCAAAATGTATCTAATAGAATACATAAAATAGGACGTTTTGCTTTTAGGAATTTAGAGAAACAGATAGATGTTGAGATTGATTACCTGTTTTGATGTGAATTGTCACCGAACACAATAACTCATAATAATAGAAGATTTAATTGGAAACAAAATATATATTTTCTTACTGATTTTAACAAATTAATATCAGCAATTACTGACTCCTAAGCTTGCTCTGTTTCCACCCTCCTCTGGGAGGAGTCTGGTGTTATCACTCATTAAACGTTCCCCTTAGATAAGCTATACTACAAATGGCTCACTGGGGAATGACAGAGGGGAATATATTGTACTTACTACATACACGGTTTATATATACATCCACTTAAGAGTTTCTGAGCTTAAACACCTACTAAAACATGCAAGAAGAAAAGCTATAATGAATTGGCATCAAGCTGTTTCTCCCAAATAAAGTGTTTTTTCCTCACATTGAACTGTTACAGTATATCACATAAAGGACCTATGTTTCCCTTCCCCTGCTTCCCTCTAGTCTGTTTTACTACAGCATGTTTATTCAATTTAATTTAGCATCCGGGCATGATCTTTATTTTCTAAACACAGATTAAATGAGAGGTGCTTAACTTATTTGCTTTTTATGAGTCTGTGTTTCAATGAGAACGTGTTTAATAATTAACTTTGATAAGTAGTATAAGGGATTTGTCTTGCTTTTTAGGGCCTACACATCCTGATCATACTGTTAGATTACTCTGATCAAACATAACGGCCCCTTCCCACTGAAAGGTTTTGTTAAGCAATCTAAAGTAATCCATTTAGTCTGACAGATCAAGCCTGCACTTTGAAGATTTTCTAATCCACTTAAAAAAGTCTCACTGTCTCAGGTGTGCAGTAAAAGTTCCATGTTTGTGTGGTTTTAGTGGGAAAGACTTGAGAAATGCTTAAATTGTTTTAAATTGATATCATAGACATCAATATCGAAGTGTGGAAAAAAGTTGGTCTTCATTTAATCAATTAATTGTATCACGACTAATGCCTAATCTTCACGTGTGAATCCCTCTGCACAAAAGGTGAAACTGCAGGGCAGCATACTCCGCAGGACACTCTCTTTGATAGATTATATATCCTTGATCCTCACTCTTAATCTTGGGTAGACAAAAGGCCTGCTGGTAATATGATAATGCAAGCCTTTCATTTCCGTAATTGGGAATTTGGCTACATAGCGTTGCAATAATTTATGCTTCTAAGAATCTGTGACAAAATAAATGTCACCGGGAAAAACATTTTCTTCACAGATTCCATATAATGTGTAATGGAAAGATATGCGTCTCCATTTCACATTAGAATCATCTTTGAAAGGTATTGGCAGCATATAACCTAAAATGTGCCTCTTTTCTTCTTCCTGTTCCTGTCAGAGATCCCTGGCTTCCTGTCAGAGGAGGAGTGCCGTGTGGTGGTGCAGCTGGCTCAGCTCAAGGGTCTGATGGAGAGCCAGACAACAACACCCAGCAAGGAACAAGAGGAGTCCAACCAGCCTCTACTTTCTCTCAGCACAGACGAGGTCTTCAGTCTGTTGGACCTAAACCAGGATGGGCTGCTGCAGCATGAGGAGGTAACGACAGACAGACAGAGAGAGAGACAGAGAGAGAGAGAGAGATTGTGTATATATGTGCACAGAGCTGTAGGAGGGAAATAGATTTCCAGGAAAATATATTCTAAGTAATACAAAATGAGATAACATTGAAATGAGATAAACATTTCGCTTCTTCCCCCAGATTGTGAGTCACTCGCGCTCTCAGGATGGAACTTGGTTGAACCCAGATAATTTACGGCAGATACTCACCGGACTGGAAGCCTGCCCTACAGGTTAGTGCTTCTGTGGCTTGTGTGTGTTTCCCCCCCCCGAGTGTGTTTCAGTACATGTATGACTGTTCTGACTCTTTCCATATAGAGCACTGCGTCAGTAAAGGTTACGTTTTGGGGCAATAAGAGTTTGTAACAGACTGAATGTGCCCTGAAATGAAACATATGAGGAATTGTTTTGGTATAAGTGGTGCATACAGAGACACACAAAATAGAATATGTAAGCAAAAAAAAAGAAAAAAAAGAAGAATTTTAAAAGCTAAGACTATTGACAAATTAAGTCAAAACCGAGCGCACCACAACACTGAGGCAGCCAACCGCGGCGCCATTTTAGTTGATACTAAGTTGAGACACAGATAAAAAAAAATAAAAAAAATGCATCAAAGTTATTAAACAGGAAGGATTTCTGTGACACACATTACATACAGTACAGCAACTATTCACTTTGAATAGGAAGTTGAATGTGATTTCTTGGTTACCAGGAGAACTTAATAGCACTTTTATTCAGTGTTTTTGCGGTGGTTGTGTATTGGCAAGTGTCTGACAGGTGGCTGTGCTTGCGTGCGATTGTTGTGAGTGGCAGTTCCCGGAAGAGGGTTGACATCGTTTTGACCTGATGCCATTGTGCCAGGCGTAGTACACATCCCAGTCCGGATGTGCCTCATCCTATCTCATTAAAAACGGATTATTCCCCAACCCCTTTTCTTAATTTTCCCCCGGATCCCCTGTACCCCTCCTCTACTCTTTCGTTAACCCACCCCCCTAACCGGCCACCTCTCCTCTGGCAACCCAGGGCTATTGTTGCGACTGGGGCGCGGTCTCCCAGGGGAACAGACATTCATTCAGCTGAGAGTAACAGCATACGGTTGGACAATAGGGAAGGAATGAAGGAAAAGAGAGAACTGAGGCTGTTACAGTCAACTCTCAAATGAAATGCACTGTTAAATCCCAGGTCAAATGTACGTTAGAGGGTCTTGAGCATGATGATATTGTTATGTTAAATGCCTCCTACTTTCTTGTCTTAATATTTCTCCATATTGATGTTACAAGAGGAGCTGCTTTGATGCAAGAACATTTTCAGACTTGATCTGACATTAAAGTAAAATAAATGATCATATATTCAGATCAAAAATCTTTTTATTGTGTTTCGACAATGCATAACCAGTGTTTGTCATTTAGAAATGGAAAGTAAAATATATACATATACAAATGAGACAGTGGTTTTAACTGATTGTATGTACAAAGAGAAAAATAAATAACAAAAAACACAAATAATAACATCAATAAATGATCATATGTTATCTATTGTTAAATTAAACTGGACTAGAACCATGATACTGCAGAAATGAAAAAAACTGGTTTAAACATTTCCCAGGGCTCCAGTCATGTCTTTAGCAATGAAATTCTATTTGAACTGTACTTATTGTATGTCTCAGGGTCCAATGAAATCATACAAGAAGGAATGGTCTACTAAAATGTGTGTGTGTTCCTGATAGGCACGCTGACCTTGGAGGACTTTAGGCTTGTTTATGATGTGTCCCAGCGCCCCGGGCAACAGCAAAGCGCGAAGTCCCGGAGTCAGTTCAAACAGAGAAACAAAAATACGTGGCTTTACCAAGGCCCGGGTTCCCACCATGTGCTGCAGAGCCTCAGGAACAGGTAACTGTGCACACACTTTTTGTCAAGCTCCTCTGATAGTAGCCCACACACTCATGGATTCTTATTTACTTGAATTTTGCTCTCTTGTGTATTTTTCTCAGACTAATCAGTCTGACACGGCTGCCTTCCACATTGGTCGGGCTGAGTGAACCTCTGCAGGTGATTCGCTATGAGAACGGAGACTTCAGTAATGCCCACCATGACAGCAGCCCTCCTCAATCAGAGACCACCTGCACACACACACGGATGGCGGGGAACAAATCTGCTCTCACAGAGGTCTCTTGCCGGTATGTCATGTATTTCCTATACAGTTTATACTGACTTACTTACTGCCAGTGTTGATAGCTTTCCAGATACACTCTTTATCATGCTGACGTACACACACTTATTTAAAAAAATGTATTTTTCTCAGTTGATTTATTCGAGGGTTTATATTTTGGTGTAATGGTTGGATAATTGTTTTACTTTATAAACACAACTGTAATACATTTGAAATACAAATTGTTTTAAGTTTGGTGAAAAAACTAAGAAATGAATGCCTGTATTGAAAGTAGGATTTTTGTTTTTTCTTATTTATTGTCATGGATTTCAAATGTATTCATGGTGCTGCTGATAACAATAACTGTTTCTCTTCTTCCCCCTCCTCTTGTTTTATCCCAGGTATCTTACCATGTTGTTCTACCTCAGCTCTGTAGAAGAAGGTGGGGAAACCACCTTTCCTGTGGCAGACAACCGTACCTATGAAGAGCAGGTGGGTGTGCTTTCGCAAATCACTCACTAACCTGCAACGTCTCTTTTCCTTTCACCACTGGAAAGTGATGAAAACAGTACATGTCTGATTGCTGCGGACAACACACAGACAGTGCTGACCCGTGACAAGGAATCTGAAACCTATATTAACACAATGTGCCAAAATAAATGATAAAACACTGGCTGTTTACTGTTTTGTGTCCCAGGCACTGGTACAAGATGGAGTTGATTTGACTGACACTAAGGAGACATGTGGCAGAGGGAACATAAGAATGAAGCCTTCTGTCGGCACTGCTCTCCTCTGGTACAACCATCTCTCTGACGGCAGAGGTAAGAACAGACGCTTTTAGCTGTATCATTTGCACACACTTTACAGAGGTGACAGACGTTCATAAAAAATGTTCTCCGTTTCCTAAATGTATCGCCAACATCAATTATGGAAACCAATTACAAAAAAATCCTAGGGGAAGAAGGATCTGTTTCAGAATTTACAAATAAAAATCGGCCATTGTTGGACTGAAGGTTATGTTTTTACTTTTTTCTTCCACCTCTTTTTCCATGTATTATTATAATATTAACTATCCAATAGTGCTTATATATTTCTGTATGTCACCTCATTTAATCGGGTTGCACAAGACTGGGTGACTCCTATTACAAGGGATAACCAATTTCAACAATCTGCCTTATTAAAGCACTTTAGCTAATAAAGTCCTCTTGTCCTTAAATCACCCATTGTTTAAATGTGGGGATTTTCTCCCCTGTCTTCTCTAGGTTGGATGGGTGAGCTGGATGAGTATTCCCTGCATGGCGAATGCCCAGTCAGGCGTGGTGTGAAGTGGACGGCTAACAGCTGGGTAAATGTGGACCCAGATCACCAGCAGCAGGCCCGTTACCAGAGACTAGTTGCTAAAAGACAACAAGCTAAGTCAGGCATGGAGGAGCATTACCAACCTCTCTCACACAGTGACCTCCACCAGGATCTATAGCCTGGCCTTTTAAAGACCAAACAAAGCAACAATAATTTTAAAATGGAGTCGGTTTTGCATCTTTGAAGCCAGTGAGGCCTGACAGATCTTTTTATAATGTCGGATGCTGTAGTCAAAATGGAAATTGCACAAAATAGCATCCCAGATATCTTCTCCTTCCAGGGAATCTGTCTTGCTTTAGATCATGTCTCTCAACCCACCACTTGAATATCCACATCACCTTACACATAAGCAAATTCCATGACATTATTAAGTTTGGTGAATTTATATATATATATACAATATAGATTTGATACAGAATTGTGGTATGCAGAAAAGACTGTTTTGCACAATTCATTTAAAATACAAAAGGGACAACACACTTTTTTTTTTTTTTAAATGTTCTGCCATCCTCTCTAAGATCGCGCCTTAAATCAAATATCACTAATTCACAATAGCGTATATATGGGTACCGTGACATGGTATCATTCATGTCTAAGAGATAAGCCTGATTACCTGCCTTCCTTTTAGGTTTACTAGGCAAACTGCCCCTGTTGCAGGTCAGTTTGATTTACTATTAACGAATTGAAGCCTATTGTTAAAAGCCATATCACAATATTTATCTGTGAATGTGTTCCTGAGGGAAATCTTTGTGAGATAATTTACGTCTGTTCTGTTCTTCAGTTTCAAGAGTAAATGATCTTCTATCGTGAATGTTATTTATGAGAGTTTGCCACATAGACTGTTTTTGACTGGACATTGTTTGTCACACTGGCTGTGGGAGGCAAGTCTTTCTGGTGTGATTTAAACTTAAGGTCTTTCATATTCAGACTATTGTTTTTCTTATCCACATAACTCAAAAATATTTATTTATTTGTGATTTATTTATTTGAGTTTTATTTATTAATGCCATTTGGTGGTTTAAGTTAAAGTATGCATATTTATTACAGCTTGATGTTGCACTGAACCTTTGACTGTATTTGACTGTATTTGTTCTACATTATCAAACATATAAAGCAATGTTTTATTAATGGTGCTGTGAGTGTGATCATCATTTCTTTAAAACTGTTTATATAGACATTGTCCACTAGATGCCGCCCAAAGCCAAATACAGCACTGCAATTTCAGTGAGTGAATATGAGTTAGCAAAAATTGTGTGGTATAATTGACAAGTGCTGCACTAGCATACTGTAAGTGCAGTTCCTATTGGTCTGCTCCATCTGGAAGCTTATGGGGGACTGACATATTGGTGGCTCATCATTAGTTGTGTCCTCCTGTCACTTGTAATTAGTGAGTAATCCACAAATATGTTCATATTTAATGTGCCAGTGATGAGAAGACTCACTTTAAGCTCTGTAAGTTATTACTCCCCTCACCAACAGTCCTAGTGGGCTTGATTAAGGCAACCGTCATCACTGGGAAGGTTTTTGAATATGGGAGGAATCTGAGGTCACTAACATCCAAAAGGCCATACTCTCTTTCCTTTCTTATACAGTAGTAGCAGAACACCAACTTTGTGGTGTTGAGTCTTAGTTATCCCCTTCTTTGTAGATATTTAGTCTTTTTTTTCCTCTTTGTAGTAATTTTGTGTTTCTTTGTCTCCCTTTTTGTGGTAATTGTGTTTCTCCATTGTTTCGCCTTGTTTTAAAAGTTGCTAGCTTCTCTTTGTATTTGCTTTGCATGTCTTTTTGGTTGTTTTGTGTCTCTGTATGGCATTTTTGTGTGACTTTCTGGTTCACATATGTTATTGGTAGGCTATGTGTCTCTTTACATTTAGAAGGTTAATGCAAAAGGGTCCCCCTTACACTTAGAGAACTTGTGGCTGCAAGCTCATCTATCTAGCTCATTTAAGTGAAGATTATAGCTACATAGTTCCAGGAGAGCTCTTTAAGGATTAATCGGCTAACTGTTAACTACGTGATAAGAGGTGAGGAAAATAGGCCTATAACATGTTTGCTAAAGTTACAGTTTATGTGTTTGCGGTCCATCTTGAACCCCTGGTTGCACCTTGGGCTCCTACCCCAAGTTGCAAAACATCCTTGCGACTCCGTCACGAGCTATGGAGAAAATAAGCAGTGCAAAGCTACTCCAGACGGCGCTTGTCAGGGGCATGTATGTGCAGTCATTTGTGTGATTTCAGGTCAAGGACGTATGCAGTGTGATAAACCCATCCTTGTGACTCCTCATTCTGACGGAGTGCTGCTGCTGATGCTGTGCGCACCGCACTCTGCTGGCTTCAGCCAATCACGTCAGCCGGCGGCGCGGGGGGCGGGGGGAGCGTCCGTCACAGCTAACTGACCGGGGAACAGATCGCATTCTTCCTCCTTCGAAACAGCCGCATCATGAACAGGTTCATGAACATCTGACTGGACCGTTCAATCCAAGAAAGCGTCAACTCAAGGCCCGGTATCATTTTCATTTAACCGTTATCCATGAGATTCTTCAGGCTTACCTTCAAGTGCTTCGTCGACTGCTTTTGAATCTCCTTTGTCAACGGCTGAACTGACCGCGGCGCCTTGTGAAATTTTCCATCTCTCAGCTGAGGGGTCCTAACCTGTGTTGATCACAAAAACTGCGATTTTTGATGTTCAATAAGGTGAAATAACAAACCCAGTAAATCAAAAAGACAACCAGGGCATTGCGTACCAAGGCTGCATCTCCCTGTGCCTCTGTGACACCACCGGGGTCCCTGTTAGCCAGGCGCATTTATCAAACTTCACCAGCCCCTGGCTCTAACATCAGCTTAAAAAGAAGAAGAGATCTATTTTTGTGTCGATACCGAATAACATGTCACCAGAGTTAGAGGAGAACAGCCAAGGTGAGTATGATGTGTGACCTCCACTGCCTAATAATGACTGATTATTTGCCGTATGATTCAACCACTAGCTAGAACATCACCACATGCTGATGAATTGGAGCATGCTTGCCTCAGTTGCTGTTTAGTGGATGAGAGCAGACCCACACACCAAACTGCGCCTAACCTGCCTCTCTCTGGATTCATCACAGCACACATACATTCATCTCAAAATAAACTTTCCACCACAGCTGACTCAACTGCACAGAAGTCCTTTCAAAGCTAAATATGGTGTTGAACAGGTGTCAGTCATGGTGAAGCAGAAGATTGTTATTCTTCAAACTAATCATTGACACGTTTTGCATCAGTATCATGAGAGCATCTTCATTTAGTAAAATGAGGTGACCCAAGTACACAAAGCAGTCTGCTTCCAAAGAGAAGTGAGTATTTATTTAGGTTTTATCATCTTTACATAAACTAATAAATGCCCAATAACTAAATGTGTATTTGTAACCTTAACTAGGCATTTGTTTTGATTTAAATAATGACATACTGTGTGAAGGTATACCTCACACAAGTGATGTTAAACCACAGGTATCCTCTTATGAAGTTGCTCTATAAATGCTGACGTCTCTTACCTTCCTCATTCTTTCCCCCTCCTCTGTTCATACACCCCCTCAAACTGCTCTGATCTGGATTCAGCTGCCTTGCTTTGCATCCAGCACAGAGCAGCTGATGATGATGATGTTCAGAATGGCACTAATGAAGCGACACATTGCTTTTGTTTGTGTTGAGAGTGCGCATGTGGAATAGATACAATAACAGTGACAGAGGATCTTAAAATCTACCTTGAACCGGCATGGCTGTGTTGTACTGCAGCACACCAATCACTCTGTAAGACATGCACATCAGGGGGAGGCTCAATGATGACAATACACGTCAGCGCAACACGATTTTAGCCCAAATACTAATTGTGTGGAAGCAGTTAACAAAATCCATGATACATTAGATCCTAATGAAGGTTGTGCACTCAGCATGGCTATGGTTGTAGTGCAGCTTTATTACAATGAATGAAAAACGTGCAGTCTCACTCTTCCATTCAGTGCGAGTCTAGCATAGGAGACTGTGGTTGATCTGGCATGTGATGTGAATTTATGAATGTGTATATTTAACACTCAGTCATACTGAAATCTGTATCTGTTTTAAGTTATTCTCCTTCATTGCTGTCCTTCTACTGGCAATCTTTTTTTACCTGACCATTGTATATCTTTTTTTCTGTCCAGGTGAAATAAGTCTCCCCCAATTGGAGGCAGGGACCCTCTCCGAGGAGGAGGGTGGGGGGTCAGCTCGCCCCCTGGTGTCTGTGTCTGGAGCTGACCCAGGGTGTGGTGAGGGCGGAGGAGCTGGCCCATTGCATACGCAGGATGGGTCTGGGACTGGAAATGGGGCTGTAGCAGTACCATTTCCGGAGAGAGAAACATGGACCAGACAGATGGACTTCATCATGTCCTGCGTGGGTTTTGCCGTCGGCTTGGGCAACGTGTGGCGGTTCCCTTACCTCTGCTACAAGAACGGAGGAGGTAAGCTTCGAGAGCACATTGTATTTAATACAGGCATCTGCTTTATGCACACACACACACACACACACACACACACACACACACACACACACACACACACACACACACACACACACACACACATGAACACACTAGAATGGCTATCAGAGAGATTCTCAGCACACCTCTGCCAAGCTCAATGGTGCATTCACGTGTTGAGAGGTCGTACTATGGTAACAACATGGATGCCAAAGAAAATTAGTTTTGTACTTTCTGGCTTAGAGCAAATGCCCAACCTCGCAACCAGTTTTCTTGATTTTTTTGTTATCCCTTATTTACCCTTCCAGCAAATGTTCTGAAAATCTGCTCATGCTCACCTAAGGACTATCCCTTTCAAATGTCTTGTATGTAATTATGAATGATTCATTCTGAAACCACTGAGGGGTTTAAAATGCTGATGTGCAAGAAAAAGGTCATGGAGCACTTCATATTAAACGGTGGGCTTTTCTTGCATAGCAGTTCTTTTGAACTTGTCGTTCAAAATATTCATACTCTTACCACTCTGCAAGGTTCATAACCTTTAGGGTGAACAAAAGTGGGCTACGCAAACACCACTGAGGATCACCTGGAGGAGGCATTTTATTTTTTAAGCTAGCAAATCTCCTTTCCCTATGGTGTTCTCCACAGGGTCTCTTGGTGTTGAATTCCACTATCCACAAAGAGAGGGTCTGAAACTGAGTGCTGAACTTGTCTTCTAGTTTTAAATGCAGTGTCATTCAGATTCCTTTAGTACTTTTGAAATATAATCAAAAACCTGTTAAAAAGAGAAAAAGTTTAGAACTACATTTTTCTAGCAATAATATATAATACATTAAAATGTCAAGCATTTAAAATAAGTTTCCCTATTTGAAGAATCATTTTGATAGTCAGTTTGAAACAGTTTTGATCAACTCAAATACTGTTGAACACAGAAGACTTTCACTAGCTCAAGTGAAAGTGAAATAAAGGTAAGAGGCAGTTGAGGCAAGGTCTGCGTGTAGTTGAGCACGTAGCTGCAGAGCACTGCCTACCCACGTGGTTTCACTTTATGCTTTACATTTGCTTAACAGCGGACTTAGTACAAGTTTCTTTACAGTGTTCCTGCCGCTCTCTCTGGCATACGTGCTATTCGTGCTGTTGCATACCTTTCCCCACACCCTCTCCTTTTTCATGTATGCCAGCTTGTCCAAAAGTAACCTGCACTGACTGCAGATATTTGCCTTGAATTCTCTTATCTCTGCCGGCCCTGCCCACTTTCCTTCTTTTTTACAACGTGATTTGTTGAAATCAAAACCAATGTGCTGCTGTGTGAGTGTGTTAGTCCAGCCCTCCCTCTCTCTAATGTGAGTTAGTCTTGTGACCCGTTGCTCTGATACCCACCTTCTGGTATCGTATAACAATGGCCTGCCTCACACAGTCCACCCCCTGTGCTCCTGCCCAGCACTCATATTGCATACAAAGGTGCTCTCTCCCACTCTGATTCTGATAAGGAGGCTAATGGATGTGTCACACAATAACCGTCCTGTGACCGTGCACGTCCTTTCCTCCCCTCTTAGCGCCAGCACCCGCTCTATCCGCTTCAGCCCTACATTTATGCCTGCGACCAACCCTGGGTACACCTAACACATCAACAATATGAGATAAGCGCCAGGTGTCTTAGCCCGACCTACTTGTTACTGAAACAAGGACACCGTCTATTGGAGAAAGTAATAGTTGAATGTACTGTGAATGCGTGGAATTAATCTCATGTATTTCTAACTAAGCTGTTAGGCCTGATGTGTCGGCTCCATTGATGATTAGAGGTGATTTACTTAAGCCTATTGAGGTTGCAGTTCCTCTGTGATTTGGGCCGATATCTTGGGGTATGTCAGCACAAGCTTTTTTCCCCAGTCGTTCCATTCTCGCCTCCTATTGGATCTCTTTTTCTCTCTCTCACTCTCCCACCCCTTTGCTCCTCACACACACTCATGAATGTTTCCTTATATGGCTGCAGCCCTCTGCTCTCAGAGAACGACATAAAGAAAATGATGGACGGAATGAGGCTCAAATAGTCAACCAATAGCACTGTTGTTGCCAACCAGGTGGATGCCTTGGTGTATCATTTTTGTATTTGTTGCGAACACAGCGTTGTTTCAGCTTTTCTCCCTGTCTTGTGATGTATCTATCTTTCCCTCCATTCTTCCTAGCCTCTTTCTGCTCTGCGTCATAGCTGGTCATGTGACTCCCTCCCATCTGCGCACTGTTGTGGCATCACCCAGAGTATATTACTATTCAGACCAAATTATTGTGATTGGATTTCGTGAATGAAATGTCTTATGCCGCCCTTTTTCATATATTTTCTTCTGCTGTGTCTTCCTGATCAGAGCAAGCTTCTCCGACAGAATGAGAATTCAAAATGAGATTATTTATAGAAAACACTGAGTACGAACCCCTTGCCCTTGGCTATCTACTTCTAATCGAAATGAAGTTTGAGATGCCTCGATCAGGGCTAATAACCCGAGCTGGAGTCTATTTTCATTTCCCCATGTCCATTTGATAGTACTTGATCTGCCTGCTCTCCATGCATCTTTCAAGTTCAAGGGCACCACGTACCAAACATTTCTGTGGAATAGGAGACGGTTATCTGGCTTATGCACTTCCAAAGTATCTCTTATCTGTGGCCTTGTGTGTCCTCTTCTCTGACTTTTGCACTTTTTCATTTATTGCTTCCTGCTGCTCTCAACTGTTCCTTGTTGTGTCGAGTGCTTGGTTTGTTAGAGCCGTGCCGATGTTTGTGCAGCTTGTGTCCTTAAAAACTTTAAACATGACTTTTACCTCAGATTTCTGGCTGTTAAAGCTCTGCTAGTATATTTTTCTTCCAGAGCTGGACATACTTAATGAGCATGGTTCTTATAGTCAAACAATACAAAACTCAGTGTTGATTTCAATATGAAAACTTAAAGTAATGTTAATGAAAGGATTATCTCAATCCCAAAGGTTTTCATTACTACTACTTCTTTATTTACATTAACAAACCTCTTTCTCATAATGATTCTCTGTGTCTGCCTTTCTGCCTTTTCATTTCACACGTTTTAAATATGTAAAGGAACAGCAACACATTTGAATCTAATGTCAGACATATTCAATTTACATCAACATCAAATCTAAAGGGAGTGATTTAACAAGATCAATCACCCAAACACACTTGTTAATGCCTCGCTTGTAGCACATGAAAATTAACCGTCAGATAAACCGAGCCATTTAACCCTCAGTAAACAATTGCTGTTTGTAGTGACACAGATATGTCATATGGTAAAGTGTCTATTATTTGATGGCATGTAATACAAATGTGTTTTGTGTGTTGCAGGGGTTTTCCTGATCCCTTACTTGCTGATAGTGTTCATCGGAGGGATCCCAGTCTTCTTCCTAGAGATAGCACTGGGACAATTCATGAAGCAGGGAGGGGTCTCTGCCTGGAACATCGCACCCCTCTTCAAAGGTACCTGTGTATGTTAGCATGTCTGACGCACATACATTTCATTTCCTCTGATTCATCACAGCCTCCTAACAAACCTTCCTCTCTCTCTCTCTCTCTCTCTCTCTCTCTCTCTCTCTCTCTCTCTCTCTCTCTCTCTCTCTCTCTCTCACTGTCAGGTTTGGGCTTGGCCTCGATGGTGATCGTGTTCTTCTGTAACACCTACTACATCATGATTCTCGTGTGGGGCCTCTACTTTCTCTTCCACTCCTTCACCAACGAGCTGCCCTGGGCCACTTGTGGACACCCCTGGAACACCCCCAACTGCACACAGGACTTCCGCCGCTCTTGCTACAACCGCAGTGTTGCGCAGCAGGCTCTGTCGTCATCTTCTGCCAACCTCCTCTCCTCCACCCCCCTGTTGAACCTGTCCACAGCCCAGCTCCTCCTCAGTGGAAACTGCACGGATACTGAGGGCATGCGCTCGCCAGTCATCGAGTTCTGGGAGTATGTTATACCTTGTCTGGGAATTTTCATGGGGTTGAGCAGCAAGTACGCTGTCTTGACTCGAAGCCATTAAGATTGGAATACACTCATCTACTGCCAAATTTAATTTGAGGGCTGTTGACAATGTGTTCATGTGGTTCGCACCCAGCTTCCAGACATCTGAGGCTTTTATGTCAGTTACAAAATGGTTCTTCTATTCAAATGTTCTGGCATCTATCTGGCATTTATAAAATCCTAATAGGACGATATGTAATTGAATTTGCTGTCACCCTTTTTTTATATCTTTGTTTTATTTTTCTTAGACGTAAAGTGCTCCGTCTTTCTGGTGGGCTGGACGAGCCTGGTGACATCAGCTATGAATTGGTGCTTTGTCTCATAGTCACCTGGATCATTGTTTACTTCTGCATGTGGAAAGGAGTTAAATCTACTGGCAAGGTAAAGTGTTTTCTGGCTGTACAATCATATGACATGTCACTGTTAGGCTTTATGGTGTGCAGATTAGTATTCATTGCTTAATACGTTTACTGTATATGAAACATTACTTGCCACTTTAAGGGGTTATTGAGTGCAGAATGATATTTGCAAGGGCTTTATGTCGAGGTTTAAATAACTGCAGCATTTTGCCCTTTGGCCACAAATCAGCTTTGGTATAGTGAGAGGATCAGTGTCTAGACTGAAAGGCCCAACAACACTATAACATAAGCACATGTGCATTCTTGAAGGTTGCTAATTTGTGTTGTAGCTTTTTTTCACTTTGGTGTTATGCAATATCCAGTGTGATATTTAGGTCAGGCTATAATCTTATTGTCTTATTTTTGTTCTTTTATACTCTTCATACATAATGTTTAAAATGATAGTTGTATAAAAGAGATTATCTCTCGTACTTTTTGACATGTGTGCTCTGAAACATTGTGATAATGAATGCATCTTTATTTAGGAGCATATGGAGACGTCTGTGTTTTGCATACGTCTCCAGAGTAGCCAAAGCTCATAGAGCGAGGGAATAAAGAATGAAGGCGATTGAGCCAGCCAGCTGTAAGCCGATTAGTAACTTTCCATGTAGACGTTTGAGAACTGGAAAGGGGCTTTTCTGCGCATGTTCACCGTAGATCAAGGCAAATATGTGCTTTCTCACTACTTTGCTCCTACCATACTGATTTAGCTGGGATTTAATGCTTCTATTAGGTATCAGGGGGCGGCTTTCTCAGCATATTTTGACAAAGAATATCTTCTGGAAAGGTCTGCCAAAAACCCCTGCTATTGCAGGAGGTTTACAAATTGTCTGGCTTTCCATTTACAGGCTACCTTTTCTTCAAAGTAACATGACAGGGCCCATTACACATCTACAGGAAGGACCTAATGGGCTTCTACTTAAGACTTGAGTATTTGCAAAGCAGGTAATTGCTTAATCAAAGTGATAAAACATACTTAGGTGCAGTTACACTGAAACATTTGACCATAGCTGATGAACCATGTTGATAAGCACTAAACTTTTCCAAATAGCCTGTTAAATTCACCATTTAACTGCATCTTGCTATGTACTTGCTTGTAATGTGAGGGGTTTAAATGTTTTATTGGTTAACTGTGGAGTTTCTACTTTCACTTAATTCAAGTTTTAATGCATAGCACTCAAACTTCACTTCCACAATCCCAAGTAAACTTTACACATTGGTCCCACAGTATCTAGAAGTGTACTTCACAGCTCTCTTTTTCCATCTCCTCTAGGTTGTTTACTTCACAGCTCTGTTCCCCTACTTGGTTCTGGTCGTACTTTTGGCCCACGGAGTCACTCTACCTGGAGCTTTAGATGGGATTGTTTACTACCTTAAACCAGACTGGTCCAAACTTGGAGAAGCCCAGGTAGACCCCTCTTTGTACACTTTTGGTTTTCCTATACAATTGTCTGGAGCAGTATGTTAACATCTAAGAAATATAGTAAACAGACTGTGAAGTATTCTGGTTATTTTGTTGTGACAGGTGTGGATTGATGCAGGCACTCAGATTTTCTTCTCCTATGCCATCGGCCTGGGTGCCCTGACTGCGCTGGGCAGCTATAATCGCTTCCATAACAACTGTTACCAGTGAGTTTATACACAACATCAAATCAGACGCGCATGTCACCTGAAGGAGGCCCGACATCAGCATCAGACAGTAGTATCAAACAAAGCAGAAAACGATTTAATGTGCACCACATTTCTTTCATAACAGACATTCTTCTGTCTATCTTTACTTGCAATCGCATGAAGTATAAAAACATTGGTTCCTTTTCTCCTAAAAATAAATGGCTACCGCGAACAACCATTAGCCTTGAATACCCTGCTCTGTATGAGTGTGCCAGGAATGAAGATAAAAGGCCCAAAGACTCCATAGCACATTAATAACATTTCAGATGTAGAGTACTTTCCCTTCATGATCAAAATAGAAGTGATTACACAGCCAGGAAGAATAATAGCAGTGTCTTTATAATAATAATAATAATAATACATTTCATTTATATAGCGCTTCTCATCTGCCAAGACAAATCTCGAAGCGCTTCACAACAAAGGACACTGATAACATTTGAAAGATTAAAAAAAAAAAAAAAAAAAAAAAAAAAAAAAAAAAAAAAGTCGGAGATGGCAATAAAAATGGCAGTACTCCAGGCGTACCATGCTCAAAGTTTATTGGAAGGCCTGCCGAAAGAAGAGGGTCTTAAGGCCGGTTTTGAAGACCTCGGTGGAAGGGGCAGATCTCAGCTGATCTGGGAGGGAGTTCCAGAGGCGCGGGGCGAATGAGCAGAAGGCTCGGTCTCCCATTGCCGGAACTGTGCGGGGGATGTAGAGAATGCTTTGAATGTGTAACACAGCTCAGATATGTAAAACATATCATTGGCTGCGAGGAGGTCTTGAGCCCCGTAGCATATAGGGACTTTTTGTTCTGTAGATCAGCACTTGCTTGCTTATGTGGAAATGCCCATAATAGGAGGAGTCTCATGAATATCCTACCCATCCAACATTTGTCAACCCTGACATTAATTGGGAAGTCAAAAGATGAGTTCAGATTTTGAGTATGTCTTGCCAGCTCAGTTTCTCACAGACACATGGGTCAGCCCAGGATAGGCTGGTGGAGAGTATATAAAGTACATTGACTTGGTTTCCAGTACACAATTCTTTGACTTGGTTCACCATCTTTAACACCACATAGTTTGACTACACGCAGGCTATGTTTTAGCCATTGCTACCAATTGGATCCCGGGGTAATAATGCTCTATATGCAGTCCAAGAACTTTGGTTCAGGGAGGAACATCTTGACAGCACTGGATAGATGTGACATTAATATTGGAAACATTCAGCAGTCTTAACATGAGCTAATTGTCTATGAAGCATGCTAAACATGAGGACAATGTTTATCTTGGTGTTTACAACATATTCATGTTTGCCAGCCAGAATGTTAAATGACATACATAACATGGCTAAACATCACATAATAAGTAATATAGATAAAATTAGATTTATATAGGGCGCGGCTTTGTCTGGAACTCAAACGCTTTACAGTAGAGGGAGAGAGACCAAACAAGGACAGGAGAGAAAAAATAACAAAAAATAAAAACCATCAAATATTGTATGAACACAGTGGTAAAATGGTCACAAACACAGAAGTACCCTGTACACTAATGAAATATACCTCTACTGGAGCATCTCAGATTCAAAGTAGAGGGTACCTTAAAGGGCTTAAGTGTGCTGCTCAGAATTGCATGGCGGATTGTCAAATAGTTTTGGAAACCCCTATCCATCGCCTTGATTAAAGCTTTAACTCCAACTTGTTCCTGGTGGTTAATGAGCATTGACGCCTCATAGGGCTCCTAGTGGGGCTATTTGACTTTAATCTTGTTTATTGTTGTGCCTATAAACACAAACGACCACTTCGCCTTGTTGATTATTCACATTGGAGCACTGTTCAGGATGAGAGGCCTGTTTGAGGCGTAGACGAGTGGAGTTGCCCCGCCACACAGCTGCTACAGCGTCATAATACAACCATCGTGGCAGCCTGTTGTTTATGACATTCTTCATGATCAGAAAGGATCTTGGCCGGTGTTGCCTAGATACAAACTCTCACTTGTCAGGAGAAACACGAAGGTATTCTCGCCTATTATCCACGGATAAGAGGGAGCTGTTCCACACTTCGTAAGATACATCCCAACATAATTGAATTAGCACATGCATGCATATCATCCACGCTAGGGACATACAGTGATGTACGCAAGGAAGTGCAAGGGGGTCTTCCATGTACTCTCTCCCCCTTTAGAGACAGACTCATTAACTTCGTCTGCTGTCTACCTTTCCACAGAAGACATTACATAGCTTTTAGGAGGAATTGCTATTGCATCCCCCTGTTCTCCTCTCAGACCCATCTCCTCGTTGCCATATTTGTCTTGAGATGTATGATGCGAGTCTCTTGGTGACAGGCATATATAAATGCTTCTCTCTTTCTGGTTTCCCAGTCATTGCTTTATCTTTCCTACTCTCCATATTCTCTGAGGGTATGCATTCTTGCTGGCCATGATAAACAGTCGGGTAACGAGTTTCTTTGCTGCTTTGTGGGTTTTCTGCCCTGGCTTCATGGCCGCAGAGCAAGGAGTGGGAATCAGTAAAGTATGCTGAGAGTGTAAAATACCAGTTTCCCTGTGATACTCTCTGCCTAATAGACACCAATTCAAGAGCTGAGTATTGCGCCAAAGTGCGAGCATATGCAGCTGACACCTTATCTTCTGACGTCTCTCGTGTTAACGTGCAGGTCAGGGCCTGGCCGTTTATAGCCTACCCCAAGGCCTGTGCACTCTAAGCCATCTGCCGCCAGTTTGGCAGGCACTTTTCTTCTTTATGTTTGCCTAGTACTGGGCTTTGGACAGCCAGGTAAAACGATTTCTGATTGTTTCATATACCACTGAGTTAAAAAGGATTCGGGATAACCACTTGTTAGAGGAACTGTAAGTGGATCTTATTTGCTGTTTTTAAATCCCTCGCACATCATAACGAATAGATAGCTAATCTAACATTTCTTTTCACTTTCCCGCTCAATGACTCTTACAAGTGCAACGGCAAGAGTTAAGCGTCTAGGATCCACATCCGTTGTGAGCATTCTTAGCAGCCTGGTTCGTGTTGTGCCTAATCATTGTTTTACAGCCCAGGGATTTGTGCAATGACTTCGATGATTCACACAGAGAGCGTCTGTCAGCTCTCCATCCCATGCCATCCATGCCATTTAACCCTAGTTCCATTCTCCTCTTTCCATTCCCATTCCATCGCTCTCCCTGTTCCTGCCATAGGCCACGTTACGCCGTCATTGCTGCATGTTCAAGTAAAGATGTAAAACCAAAGCCCAAGTGCGCCGTCTTACTCTAACTTCTAAGGTTTTGACATATGTTTCAGCAAAGACACAAGTAAGGCCGATGTGTGCATACAGCACTGAGAGGGGTGTCTTGGGTTTTTCAAAAGTAAATCACCGTGAAGAACACACTACGGATGTCTGTGTCACGATCCCACTTAACTTCCCTTATGCTTTGTGCTCTCTCTTTCTCTCACTCAACATTGTCCGTCTTGTTCTCTCTGCCTCTCTGTAACTCTGTTGTCAGTTTGTAGGGGTAGAGGGTTGATAACGGAATTATGGACATGCGACCGCGCTAAAGCTGCCAATGCCCCTGCGCGAGAGGTGGTAGCGCCATCTGCTCGCGTCATCTGCTTCTTGATCGCATATCCATGGTGCACTGAGGAAAGAATATACGACTAGACCTATGTTTACTCTATAACATTACGGCGGTAGCATTTTTGAGTTTTTCACCTAATATACATCAGTTATTTAACCACACCTTACTGACACACAGTACTAATGAAAGTCCGGTCTCTTACCTGATCTTTGAGATTATTATAGAACTAAACTAGTACTAGATTAATTACTACAATGATTTGTAAAAAAAACTAAGATGCTCCTCGCAACAGGAGCCATTCGAGGATCATGATGAAAACTACAAGTGAAGACAACTAGAAATAGGTCATCAGCATTAACATGAGGCCTGACTGCGGCCTTATTATCACAAGAGATATCTAACACAAACATTGACTACCTACGCAGTGCATCACCATAGTGCAGGCTTCTGGGAGTGGTGTGGTGATTGCTTGCTATGTGAGACAGTGCCCACACAATCATACAATACAAAACGCGAACCCTCAAACCAACAAACTATCACAACATCCGATGTCATTTCTGCAGGCGGCGGACAGTTTCATGGATGACGGCTTCGTATGAGTCGGGCTATCAAGCCCCTCAACCCTGACATGAAGTGGGCTGGTCCTACATCACAACTTTAGTCTGTGTGGTAGAGTGCTGTCTCGTTGTTTTATAAAGCAAACTCGTACCTTTCTGTTGCAAACCACTGACAGTTGTTTGACCCCTTTTCAGTACAGGTCAGGTTCATTTTCCATGTGGTGAACTACAAACGCCTACCGTAGCAACACAGTGTACACTACCGTGAGACCCCCGGCCCATGTGGGGCGAAAGTGCTTGCTGGGATACTTGGCCTTCCAATGCTCTTTGTATCCCCGGTCACACGTTCTCTCAAACTCTGCGCTGCAAAGATCTTTTCCGGAGACAGTAATAGCCTGGTGCAGCGTGTACACTCAAACCATTCTCTGTGCATGTGCGTTACCGTTGTGGTATGAACAGAAATGTCCCTTGGAACCCCCATGCTCGCCTCTCTGCTTATTTGCTGCTGTTGATTTCAACCATTGCCTCCATTGAGAAGGCTGGAAGCATCGCCCCACGAAACAGCTCACTGTCTGTATGCTCGTTGCTTTCCCATGACGCGTCTGGAAGCACCTACACACCCGTTGGGCGACATCACATGGAGTACATGGCCCCGGAGAGCGGGGCCAAATGCTTGCCCCCTGCAGGAACAAAGAGCACGCTTCCCTTTAAAGTGGTCCATCTGAATGAGCTGAAGCCCCGCTGGAACACAGAGCCTTGACGTCCAGCACACACCAATCTATACTCAAAATACATGCCACACCACAACAGGCCCTGAAGGAGCTAAGTGCAGATTGGTACAGCAGCGCGCGCCACAGTTTGAAACCTGAATGGAGAAGCCCTGGACAAAGGACGACCAAGTAGATTAGATGGGAGCAGAACCGAAACACATCCACACAGTCATCACCACTCGAAACACCCCTGCTCGTTTCTGACTCTACCGGTCGCGTGACTCTCCGCCGCTCGCCGCCTCTGTGCTGCCGTCTCGTCTGTTCTGTAAGTTGTGATGTGTCCAGGTAGCTGCGATATCATCCCTGTCCTGTCCCTGTCATGTCATCCGTGCCCCGTGTCATGCCATTTGTGATGGCAGAGCCTAAAATACTTTAAAAACATTCTACATCGCAAGATCTACTGCGGTGCTGGTGTGTGTGTGGTGGTGTGTGTGGTGTGGTGTTGTGTGTGGTGTTGTGTGTGTGTTTGTGTGTGTGTGTGTGTTGTGTGTGTGTGTGTGTGTTGTGTGTGTGTGTGTGTTGTGGTGGGTGTGTGTGGTGTGTGTGGTTTGTGCGGTGTGTGTGGTTGTGTGTGGTTTGGTGTTGGTTGGTGTGTGTGGTGTGTGTGTGTGACCGTGCAGGGTGTCTTGATTTACATTGGACATTGTCGTGTTGGCCAAAAGTTTGCTGCCAACTTTATTGTCCCTCAAGTAACTGTGAAGACAGCTTCCATCTCTGTAGCAATGAAAAATAAAATTATAGTTATCAAAAGGAGACCATCACCGACTATCCAGCTATGTGTTATGAGCTAACTAGAGTTATCTGTAATGAGGGCTGTGAATCAGTGTTATACAATATTTCACACGGGATGATTATCAGGTACTTCCACCTTAAGAGAAGGAGAGAAAACTGAAACTGAATTGTGCAGAGAGCAGCGAGACTGTGTTAGTGGGGAGGGGAAAGATCGCCTTGATGTGACGGAAGGAGCAATAAGACCAGAAAAAGACGGATGTGCTTTTTTCTGACCCTTTTTTTATTTACAGTCTCCATTCCATTACTTTGGTCTAACCGTAGAAATGACCAAAACTATTCTGGCGTTGAAGTCACATTTAAGTATGTTACACCGCCGTATACAAAAACAGTCAACCACATTTCACGAGATAGGACTTGAGGTGTCAGGTAGATCAAAGATGAACCGTAAAGGCACTCTTAGGAGAGTGTTCTGTGTTTACATGCACACTCACATTGTTGCATTGGAGTGTTCATCCCCAAGAAGCCGAGAGTATCTTTAAGGATCCCTGACACCACATTTCCGTGTTTCTGCTGTTGATAATTGATTAGTCCCATCCCACATCNCTATTTTAAAGCTTGCAGTAATTCAGGGTTGCTGTGACACACTTAGGCACACTTGTTCTGTTGGGAGAATAAAATCAATACTTTTGGGGACACATTTATTTTCCATGCCAGCATGTTTCAAACTGGTCGGGGGTTTTGACTTCTTGTTATTTTCAACTACAGGTTTTTTAAACTGACGTAAGAGGCAGAGGCCAACTCATTAAGGCCAAGTCTCCAGCTGAGCATGTCGAAAGTAGGTCTGTAAAATACTGAGTGCAAAAGTGTGTCCTGTAGAATACACAAATACATTCAAACTAACTCCAAGCACACACTGGTTTGAAATGTAATCTCAGCTGCCATCTAACCTCTCTAAAGCTACAGCTCCTTTTCACACATTTCTTCATCCTCATTTTTAACCGCATCTCACTAATAAATGTGTCCCCAAAAGTATTGATTTTATTCTCCCAACAGAACAAGTGTGCCTAAGTGTGTCACAGCAACCCTGAATTACTGCAAGCTTTAAAATAGCAATATGTTTCTCTGCACTTAGATGTTATGGCTTCTGGGTTATCAGTTTAGCTTTCATTCGTTACTGTAACATGACCATGCGTCGGGTGTCCCGTTACAGAAGCTCACACTTGAAACCGTGTATTTTGATCTTTGAATCGCTTCCAATGTAATGTAAGTGAAGTTGGTTGGTATCAATTTTCTCTAATGGCTGTTGAAATCAATTATTCACTGCGAACCAATGAGATTCAGTGTTCCATTGTGCTGAGGAAAGAGATGTCATTTTTATCTCAAACTACAACACTTAGCTGTGTGCAAAGCTCCCTTTTCCCTGCATCCATTCAACCATGCAGTGACAAAATACAACAAAGAGTCTCCTATTGATGGTTTTATTCTTTTGTTAAAGCATACTAAGTCTGTGCAGTTAATTGAATATAAATCCTAGTCACATTTTTGGCTTCTCACAATTAAATGAACCTTATCGACCGCAATATTGACAACAAAAATGCATGCTCGACTCGTGGAAAACTATCTTTAATGTTGCGGCTGCAGACGGGAAAAAGGGAATTTACAGTATTCAGGTGAAGAAAAATATTTATTAGTTATTTGATAAAAATCTCTGTTCATCAGGAGGAATGCACAACATGAATATAAAAGCAGTGATCTGTGTTAGTGCAGGTTTACTCAGACCTGGTCTATTGCTACTGGCAGGTTTAAATGAGAAAGGTGACAGTGCAGGATGTTTATTGCACCTCCACTCACCGGCTGCCACCTCTTTTCTTAGCAGTCATATCCCCTCTACCACTAAAAACTAGTCTCAATCCATTCTACTCCCCATCAAACCTGCTCACAAGTATTCAAAGTGAAATGGACTTTCTTTTCAATACACATTAAAACCAAGCTGCTCTCTTTAAACACTTGGTACTTCAGCTGTATGTCTTTTTGACTCTTGTTCAGGCTCAGACAGAACACATCTTGTTTGGTTTTATGTTGCTTTTTTTTGTCACAAAAACTTGGTCTGCTGAGTAATCTCAGTGAAGCGTTGGAAATTAAATGAACCCATTGCCATCGAAAGCATACGCAGGCACGCACACACGCACGCACACACGCACGCACACTCAAAAAGGATCATCAGGTACATAGACAGAGAGTGCAGTTGCTGGCTGTAAGCAGAGATTGGGCAGAAGGTAAGGAGCTGGGCCCTCACTTGGTTTAGAGACACTAACATGGAGCAAGGCCACTGATTGTGTGTGTGTGTGTGTGTGTGTGTGTGTGTGTGTGTGTGTGTGTGTGTGTGTGTGTGTGTGTGTGTGTGTGTGTGTGTGTGTGTGTGTGTGTGTGTGTGTGTGTGTGTGTGTGTGTGTGTGTGTGTGTGTGTGTGTGTGTGTGTGTGTGTGTGTGTTTCTCATGTGACTGGTTCCCCTGCCGAAAGAGCAGCACAGCTCAGCAACAGCTCCTGACAGCCGCTGTCACAAGAGCAGAGATGGGAACCGTGTGTGTGTGTGTGCAGAAGGGAGTGTGTTTACATTTGAGCATAGGCTGCCTGTCTCATCACAAATATTCTCTTGCAAACACACACACAAAAGCGCACACACACAGCATTATAAATACAGTGCAGGCCCCTACAAATATTACAAAGTACATAATAATTACGCACTACAGTTTGTATTTATATTTTCCATTAGTATTTTGGCATTGCAAACTACCAGATACAACACAGATATTGATTCTGAAACATAAATTAAATAATGCCAATAATTAATTACGCAAATGTGGTTTTGTGCATACCAATACACATACACACTATAACAAGTGTGTCATCTTGTATGTCCCATCTCGTTCTGATGTTGCCTTTTGGGCATGCCTTTTAAAGAGATCACATGCTTTATTAGCTAACTTGGTCAGACCCTCCCCCCATACGCATAGACGAGCATCGGCTTGGCATTCATATCAGCATCATTACAGGCCACTGCAAGATTGAGAGAGATGGGTGGGTTCAGAGAGATGAGCACAGATAAAACATGGCTGGAACAACCCTGATGGAGATAGACAAATAAGTGGGGGAAAGTGACAGAGAAAGGGATAATCACTGACAGGCGTGTGGGTATCACAGCTTGACATAGCTACATCCATCTATAATTCATGACCCGGTTCCGGGGGCCATATACATTATGCAGCTTAACCTTTATTATCTGAATTCAGGATTAATTCAAAGTTTATCCAACTCACCAATTAGAAGTATGCACGCTGGGTATTTATAGACATGTTTAGACGTAAATATCCCCATGAAGCTATCTGCAGAGCCTCATTGCATTGTCTTTGTTATACTGCATTCCTGCGGCTAAAGAATAGCATTAAAAGACTTGGAGAAAATTACATTTTGTTCATGGAAGTTCAAGTTATCATTTAATGTTCCACTATACCACACAGGCTTTCAAATATGCCTGTATATGTTTGTGCCCAATGCAATGTATATGATTCTGAATGATGTCCCATGAACTGGACCATGTCAGAAGATCTGACCAAATGTAAGTTTAGATCATAAGGTGAAATACAGTAGAGAAACAGATGATATATGCAATCACGAAGACATAACCTTAACTAGAATTAGAAAAATAAGAGATGTTCAGTTACATACTGTTAATGTTGGATAAGCTAAAGCTTTAGCATAAGCACACAAACTGACAGACACACACAGAATAATAAGATTTGGTGACTCAAACCCCTGCAGTTGTAGGCCAGATGTCATGAAATCTGAACTAACAGCCGTGGCCCTCAGGATTTGTTTCTTAAGATAGTTAGACTATACATAGTGGAGGGGCTTAGCTACCACAACCACAAAGAGTCCTCAATGTCTTGACAATATAGTACATTGATAGAGATATAACTTCCTTAACTGTCTTCTTTCTGTGTTCTCCAGTCTGAAATCGGCTTTGGGAAACTTGAGACCTACATCAAACTGGACAAACTAGGGGAGGTGAGATCAATAAAGAAAATCCTTGAAAGTGACACGAAGTAGATACAAACTCCTCAAAATACTCACACTTGCATGCTTTCTATCTCCGCAGGGGACCTATGCTACAGTGTTTAAGGGGCGAAGCAAGTTAACAGACAACTTAGTAGCTCTGAAGGAGATCCGGCTGGAGCACGAGGAGGGGGCGCCCTGCACGGCTATCCGGGAAGGTACTGACATGCTGTCTAAATCATGCAATTCGGAAGTAAACAACTCACAGGCAAACACAGCACCATGTTGTCAAGAAGCTTGTAAGGTTTTGACAGTGCTGTGACCTATGAGCTGCTTCCTCACAGGTTCTCTGTGTTTGACTGACAGTCTCCAATATGTCTCCCCTTCTAGTGTCTCTACTGAAGGACTTGAAGCACGCCAATATTGTCACTCTCCATGACATTATCCACACTGAGAAGTGCCTGACACTCGTGTTTGAGTACCTGGTGAGTGTCTGTACTGTGCATGTGTGTAGGTTTATTGTGTGTGAGAGAGCAAATAATACTAATCTGAATATCTGCACTTATTTAATTCTTTCTTTATCTCCTCTCAGGAAAAAGATCTGAAGCAGTACATGGATGACTGTGGGAGCATAATGAGTGTTCACAATGTCAAGGTAATGCAAAGCAATACACATGTTCAGTACTGAGGAGACATCTTTAGAGTTGCTACTGAATGTAATCTTATTTTCACAGTTGCAAATGAAAAAAAAGCGTCCATTTTGTGTTTATTTTCTTTCAATAGCGGCAAAACATTGGCATGCAGCTTGGCTTCTCAATTATAATGTTGAAAGTTGTTTGATCAGTACATCAAAAGAATGCCACATGATGTAACCTGTTATAATAAATTACTTGGTTAAATGATTATATTTAATGTAATGACAAGTTTGTAACAATAACTTATACGAATGTCAACTCCTTTTCAGATTTTCCTATTCCAGCTGTTGCGAGGTCTGGCGTACTGCCACAGAAGAAAGGTCCTCCACAGAGACCTCAAACCCCAGAACCTGCTCATCAATGAGAAAGGAGAGCTCAAACTGGCAGATTTCGGTATATCATCATATGACTCACAACATCAGTCTCATATATTTTCTTTTCGGTTTGACCTGTCATTATATTTTCAATAAAAAATGAATGTACAGGCTTTCAAATGAACTAAACTCATAGGGAACTATTATTACTTTGTTAAAATACAATTAGCTAGTCATTTACTGAGAGTTTGTAATGTGGAAAAAGTCTGAATAGCGCCCCCTAAAGGATACTGCTCCTAGACCCAACAGGAGTAGAATACTTTGACTTAATACTCAACACTGCCCTCCGTAGGTGAACATCAAAACATGACATAATAATGTGCATACTCCTGTGTTGCATAATTTCCCTTTGTAGGAACCAAAAGGAGGTTTCCTGCTGGAATGAGATGTTTTGAGTTGAACTAAAACATACAAATCCTAATGAGGCAGATTAACATAAATCAATGTCATTTTCTGTTTGAATTAAGGTTTGGCGAGAGCTAAATCTGTTCCTACGAAGACCTACTCCAATGAAGTTGTGACATTATGGTACCGGCCACCAGATGTGCTTCTGGGCTCCACTGAGTACTCTACACCCATTGATATGTGGTGAGCAAACACAGATTCAAGCAAATACACACACTTTCAGAGAAGAACATAAAACTACCCCTGTTTGTCTGTCCGTTTCCTTCTGTTCTCACATTAAGGGCCTCTGTTTATTCTCTGAGCTTTCCACAAAAAACAACATTTGTTTTTCCATTGTTTCTTTATCTTTTTCCAGGGGTGTGGGCTGCATCTTTTACGAGATGATCACTGGCAGACCTCTCTTCCCTGGATCCACTGTGGAAGATGAGCTACATCTCATATTCCGCATCCTAGGTGAGACAACATCAGCGTAATTCAGATGATCATATGCTTATGTGACATGCATCCTTATTTAGTTTGTTTGTCTCCGTCTGTACAATTGATGTATAATAACTAATGCTCTTTATCTGGAACAGGTACTCCTACAGAAGAGACTTGGACTGGAATCACCACCAGTGAAGAGTTTAAGACGTACAAATTTCCTCGATACAACGCAGAGCCCCTCGTCAACCACGCACCCAGGTGTGTAGGTGTGAATGCAGGCACACACAGCCATGGCTCCACGTGTGTTTAAATGGGTGTCTCAAAACAAGAGCAGGTTTCAGAATTCCAAAACGTACAGGAAAGCCTAGAAAGTATTTGAGCGATTTTCCAGGAACTGAAAACACAAGACAAATCTGAGAAATTAAAATGTCCACGACAATCTTGTGTTTTTTGTTTTTTTCCTAGCAGAATCAACTGCTAGGATTATTATTATTATTATTATGGCTCCCAAAAACACATACTTTAACTTAACTGTGACATCAAAGGGAAAGAAATCTATAAGAGTTATCTTTCATAGTCGCAGTGACTTTAATTTGTTCAAATCCCCTCTTTGTTGTCTCACTGGATACTCTCTCCCTGCAGAGCTAGGTTATTAGGATAGTAACATAAAGACTTGGTTAGACTCAGCATGCTGAAGCTTCATATTATCTTCACATAACAAACAGGGTTTTTACGCTCATTAAAAACCTGGAAAAGTCATGGAAATTCAAAATGCTAATTGCTAAGTTATGGAAAACAATATTTTTCCCAAAGTTTTGGAAAAGTCATGGAAATGTAACTAAAGTTGCATCAAATATAATTTATATTTTATCTAATTGCCGAAATAGTAATACTATAATGATAATAAATATTATATCGTATAGTAATGAAACGTAAAATGGCATTTAACTGACGAGGTATTTTGCTGGTGAGAGATTTGAGTTGCTTTAGCGTGTAGAGGCTAGTAAGCCTACTATTTGATTTGTTTTAAATAGGCACAACATGTTTCCTATGCAGACCTTATTTTCCGGTTCCATGTTAAAATAAACCATTTTAGTAATGGTTTTGGTCATGGAAAAGTCATTGGTGAAAAAGTGTATGAACCCTTAACAAAGACTTTGGATGTTGTACCAGATTACTTTAGAGCGGATCTTTTAATGATCATTATGGACAGGAGGAATGATTACATCAGGCAAAACTGCAATATTCATATTGGGACCTGAGTATTTTAAACCTTTCCTTTTAAGTGACTGATGTGTAAGATGTAATAAGATAAGGATTGATTTTAAGTAATTTCTGTTGTCAAGGGTTTCCTCCTCTGTTGAAATCACAGGAACCCTCTAAGGCTCTGTATGGCTGAGCTCAGCATTTGACTACAAATGCACTCAAATCCCTCTCCGTCACCTTTCCTTTCTCTCTGACTTTTTCTCTTGCTTTCTTTGACACAGGATAGACAACGATGGCCACGACCTCCTCTCACTGCTTCTTCAGGTAAGAAACATTGCCTCAAATGATGAATACTCTTAGTCTACGTATGTACCACCATTACATTAGACTAAAACACTAATGCACCTCTCTTTATCTCCCTTCTTTGTCTCTGTCTCTAGTTTGAGGCTAAGAAGCGGGTATCAGCTGAAGACGCTCTGAAACACTCGTATTTCAAATGTTTTGGGGAGGAGGTTCAAACGCTGTCTGACAGTGAGTACACACAGTCTGACATGTAGAATTTGCACATTTACTGTACAAACACTGTCTCATCAACTCTTTGTTGTTTTCAGTCACATCCATCTTCTCTGTAAAAGGCATTCAGCTTCAGAAGGATCCAGGGAAGAGATCCTCAGTCTTCCCAGAGTCAAGTAAGTTCTCCATGATAGAAACATAGTGGTAAAAAGGTAAATTCTCCACGGGAATATGAAAAACAATAGGTACTGCCCCCTGTCCTCTCCCTTTTCTTTCTCTTTCCTCCGTTTGCTTTATGTCGTCTATCATTTGGTTATTCTTTAAACTTTTATCTACTGCCATCATCTGGTCATAACTGTAATCTCTTCAATGCTTATTCGTACTTAATGGCTAAATACATATACAACCTTTGACAGCGCAATCAACTATAACTTGTGTTAGTTCTAATTAGCAAATGTTAGCATGCTCACAGACAAAAAAACACGAAGTAAGAAGCACACCCAAAAATGTAATTGGTACATTACTACAACAGTTACCCTTATCTAAACCACTGTACATTAAATTTGCATGAATGTCTTTTGAAATTTGTTTAGATTTACTTCATGTTTCTGTCTCTGTCAGGGTCTCAGTCTGTGTGTGTCTCTTTCTTTCTGCTTCCTGCTTCGGCCTCTATGTCATGTTTTGATAAACTGTCCCTTCTCTTTCTTGCTGCCCATGCCCTCTCCTTTCCTAATCCTCAACTACTCCTTAATTATTATTAATAATCTCCCTTGTGTGACCTGCTCCTCCGTAACGCCTTAATATTCCCAACCTTCCCCCTTTTCCCTGACCCTAAAAAGCGATGGCCCATAAGCTAGGCTCTGCACCCTCGCAGTACTTCCAGAGAGAAGCAGCCAATCCCAGGGCTCAGAGTCAAAATCTCTCCTCCACTTCCACAGGCTGAGTGGCCCCTACCGTTCTGGTAAATACGGTCTCTTTGAATCTGTCTGTTTTCTGTTCTGTTCCCCTCTGGCTGTTACCTGGCCTCCTTTCTTCTGTCCATTCGCTCTTTGTCCCACTTAATATGTGGCTCTCGGGGGTTGCTAAACTCGGCTCAATGCGGGTACATTTCACTTCCCTCCTTGCATTCCATCAACCAAAACAACACTTGGTGTTGGTACCACTTCAAACTCACATCCCTTTTTAATTTTTAACATTTCTTTGTCTCTATTTGTTGTTTATTCCTCTCCCTTTCTCTGTTCTTGCCTCTGCCCACTTGCATCATCTCAGCTTTCACTTACCTAACCCTCGGTTTATCAGTGAGCCACTCCCAGCGTTTATGTCAGGGATAAAGGGTGACAACATATATACGTTAAAGAAAAATCATGTGATCAGAGACCAGTCTTTTGATTGTTTTCTTTTGCAGTCCTGTTTAGGTTTCTACAGAGACAGATGTAGCCTTTTTGTTGAGTCTGTAAGTGAGGGTTTGGTGAAGTGTGCTTTTGCTTGGTTTGGTTCTAAAAATGCATTTTCTATCAGCATGGATATGGTCTGTTCTTCTAACTGCAGTGTGTTATACTGACTGGTAGGTATGTTTTTAGCTTTAGATGCAAAAGATTACACACACATTTACAGATTATAGAACGATATGATCCAATTGGTTGCCAAAGTATTGGCACTGATAACACCACCGCCACACTATATGGCCATGCTATATGTGAAGGGTCCCAGTTTGTGCACAAATCCATAATCAGGACAATGTTTTGGACGCACAGAGCCGTGGTTACCTTTTTATTCATCAAACCTTAAAATAAATGAGACTCCACCTAGATGTAGAACAATCTTTGATTATGTGTTTTTGCAGGCATGGAGTGAAATGTGTGGTGGTGTGTTTGTTTTTGTCTAAATAAAATCCGAACCTATTTTAATATCTCTCTCTCTCTCTCTCTCTCTCTCTCTCTCTCTCTCTCAGCCCAGGGGAAGAGCAGGAGGCAGAGTGTGTTGTTTTAGTGCTGGCGGGGGCGCTGAGGTGAGGAGGACAGAGACACGTGGAGCTGTCCTGTCAGACATACGTTCACTGACCCTGCCACACACACACTGAAGGAGCGACACACACCCTGCCACAGAAACACACACACTGAAAAAAATACACGCACACATACTTGAAACAAAACCACCCAGAATTTAGGCTGAAGAATTTGTACTTGACAATAAAAATAAATAAAGACTCAAGTTAAATTTAAGGATGAGAGAAGCGGGGAAATGCCGTAAGAAAAGTGGGAGAGTACAAGATTCTCCTTGCTGCTACTACCGCTGCTGTCCAGAAGAGGGCAGCGTTTAAGGAGTGGGCTGGCTCGGTTTCTGAACAGAACTTGCTGCATCAGTGAGCCGTGAGGAAGAAGGAGTGAGAAGTGGACGTCAGTCTAAGGCGAAGAAAGAGAGGGAACTTTCTTGTGCTCCTTTTCTTTTTTGTTCGGACTGTTGTTGTACATAAATAGACTGAGCTGTAGAACTCTGCTTTTTTCATAACACGCCTCGGCCTGAATCCAAACTCAGAATATTGCACCTAAACCCTCGCCTGACCTCTTGGCCCTTTATTACGCAATCTTTAAAACAACACATAGAAACACAAACAAGCAATCTCTTTCTTTCTCTCATTCTCTCTCTTTCTCTAGCTCTCTTAAATACACACACACACACACACACACACACACACACACACACACACACACACACACACACACACACACACACACACACACACACTTATGATTCACTTGAAAGTTAAGAGTCTGTAGAAAAGTGGAGTTTACAGATAAACTTTAGCACCTTATTGTCCAGTAGAAGTCAGGGTGGCTGTCATTACGTTACCTCATCACTCAAGCAGAGTAGGATGTAAAGTACATGCTAGATTTAGAATGAAGAAGAATCAAATAACAAACCAAAAAAACAACAACGATACTACACTAAAATAGAACACTAAAGACACTCACAAACCAGTCGTCGACAATTATTGCATTTGCTCACATGCTGTAAAGAACACTACGCTGCAAGACACTCCTGTTCTTAGTAGACAAGAAGGAAAACCTGTACGGATAGAGAGGTTTACAAATCCTCAACTGCTTATTCCTAGACACACCCTTTCCTCTTTTGCCTTGATTCAGAAGTTGTCTTGATGTGCTGTGTGATGTACAGGTGTTGATGTTAAAACGTTCTCTTTGCACCTGCTTTTACCTCTTTAGATCATCCCAAACATCTCCCTCTAATCTCTACTCGCATTTATTTTTACTCTTTTTATTTTTCAATCTGTATATATCATACTTTTTACTTGTCAGAAGCAATGATACTTCCAGGATGCTGTTCTCAGTCTTTACTGTGTTCCCACCGGAACAGTGTGTCGACTGGCTGGGGACGTGTTGCACATTCCTTGAGCTCAGGACTTAACGCTAGTGTTGTTTTGTGGACGCTGTGAGGTGCAGCTGGTCTTGTATGTCTCCCCATGTGTGGCAGAGAATGTCAAACATGGCCTAAAACCCTTTTGCAAAGCTGGTTCAGACTATGTGAAGGAGTATTTTCATCCTTTCATTTGTCTGTGTCATACTTAGTTAATTTCACCAAATGATTGCTGTCCAGTGACTACCTTACCCACGTCTGTAGTATACTTGTCATCTTCATCGAGCATGTTTGTGTATTAAACACTGAGTTGGTATGTGAAATAGCTTCTGCTGGAAAATACCGTCAGTCGGTTTAGTGCATGGGACATGACATTACATGATTATTGTTTTTACATCAAAAAACACATTCAACTGTAATGCCTCCTCATTGAGTCTGAAGACTGTTCTCTTTAATAAAACAAACACAATGACAACACAGTAGTCAGCAACAATGGCATGTGCTGCCGGCATTGGGACCAGATAGTTTGTAGGATCTCAATCTTTGAGCGTTTAATAGGACTTGAAGCACTCAGACACACTGTTGTTTCCCGCTGATAACTTTACAGGCTGCCACAAACTACAGGACCAAGTCAATCCTCCAAGCACCAGGTGTTCAAGCACACAACTGTTTCACACACCAATCAGTTGAAATGTCAACGTGTACTGTATCCTACGAGATGGCTTGTGAGTGTAGATTGGAGTTGCCTGTTCTTCAGGCACTGACCTTGGGTCATTTCTGCATCTTTTTTGAAAATGGATTCAAAAAGGGTGAATTGATCCCATGTCTTTGCCTGTAAGAGAGACTACCTATTAACCCAGAGTGTGACAGTATGTAGCATGTACATAGTTGATCCCTTGCTCTGTATATATAAAAGTGTACAGGTTTGAAACAGCTGTTCACACTCTGGCTTTTTTTTTGCTTTTCCTTTATGAAAGTCATAGCAATATTTCTGTAATCAATAAAAAGCCAAGGTAATAGGAAGAGTGTGATTGCATTTGTGTTACTTTAGCGAAGGAGAAATGACTGTGAATGATCAAACTGTGAGACTTGACTTGAGGGTTTTCTTTCTTGCTGTTTAACATGCTGGATCCAAAAGGCTGGACTGAAGTATCTTGTTGCAAAGGAGTATAACACACTGTTTGTTTTTATTTTAATCAATGAAAGCCATAAAGGTGACAATGGTCTGTGTGTGAGGGGTGTGAACCATGTTTGAGCACAGACCGAAGCTGGATGACGTGTACACCTAATAAATAAAATAATGTAATTACCTTCTTTTTTTTCCTTGTCATAAATATTTAAAAAATATATTGCCATCTTTTTTGTTGGATTACATCATAACCTACAATTACATTTACAGGGCGTTGGCAGTTTGCTGCAAATCTGTATTTAAAGAATTATTAATCCGGCCTCTCAGTCTTGCAGTACCAATTAAGCAAATGCTTACTGATACTAAGATGTGTAAAATGTAATTCAGTCACTCACTTAAATGCCAAAGGAATGGCCTTTAAGTCTTTGCTGGCACTATAGGTTTTAAACAACATCTATAAGAAGGAAATTAGACTTATTATTCATTTTAGCAAGCCATGTATGTTGTTTCAGCTGTACACACATACAAGGTTGTAGATGTAGCGACTTCAGGAAACAAACAAAGTCGCTGAGGTCGGGCCTGGTTGCATATCTGACACGCTTCCAAATGATTTGCTGAAATAAAAAATGCTGTGAAAATGTAATTTATTGAAAAATGAGATGATCAACTTAGCACAATGTGAACAAAAAATCAAAGCAATTGCGGTCAAAAGGAAAATACAGCACCCTCTTTTCCACACACACACACCTCACGCAGGTGAACAGGTGATTATAATTCCTATGAGTGTAGCCCATATCCATGTGACCCATACACACCAATTGCGATCCCACATTTTTTAATAAAAACCATTAGGTCTACTCATACAAAGGAAATATAAACTAGTGCAAGCCTAATTCGTAAAAAAACAAAATGTATCACTTTGTATGTTTAATGGCTCCTATATGAGTCTTTATCTTTGAAAACCTCAACATTTGTACACACTGTGAATTTCACACAACGTGGTAAGTTAAAAAAAGAATGAAACCTGAACATGATTGGCCATGACAGAGATCATGACAAAGGGGTTGTAGGCTATTTATTGTAAGAATACATTTTCATGTGTCTTAATGATAATGGTTTGCTTCTTCCTTTTTACATTGCTTCGACCATTGGGACTCATGACCACTTTTATTCATTCAAAGATTGTTTGGGTGAGACTCTTGGGAGCTTGTTGAGAGCAGAAACTGTGGTCTCATCCTCAGTAACTTGTGATTCGATTGCCCACGGGTTCCTTCCACACAGGATAGTGGGAACAGCGTATCCCCGAAACTGGAAACACACACATAGCAAAGGATAAATAATAGTCTGCATATATCCCTTTCCTTTGTGTGTGCAAATCCTAATGTGCATGATGGAGGGTTTACCTGTCTGTTCATGAAAATGTATATCATAGGGTTGTAGACAGTGCTGCTCTTAGCCAAGTACACTGGTATGGTAGCGATGATGGGGTTAATATATAAACTGGAGTCAATGATGACAGCGAGGGCCATGCCAGCATATGGCAGCCAGGTCACTAGGAAGGCCAACACCATCACCACTATCATACGTGCCACCTGCATCTCCACACGATTTGTGCTGCCAGCCTCGCATGTCTGCAGCTTGGTCACCTATGACACCCAAATGCAAGCAAAACAACTTATTGTAATGTGGGTACAGGCAACCAGTAGTCATTTAGTGTAGGCTACTCATATTCCCAACATTTAGATAGCTCACCTGCCGGAGGGTCCATAAAAGTTTTGAGTAAGATACTACGATTACCGTGAAGGGCACAGCAAAGCACAGCATAAAGTATAAAATGATGTAGGACATGTTCCCGATGTCCCGGCTGTACCAGTTAGGCGCACAGGAGGTTTTGATGCCCTCCAGCTCAAAACTACCCCAACCAAACAGAGGTGGAGTGTTCCAAAAAAACGACCACAGCCAGGACAGCACCACTCCGGAAACAGCATGTCTGAGGAAAACAGAGATGTGTCACATGCCGGAGGAGTGTTCAAAGTGTTGTTATCTGGGTGATGCTGCCAAGAGAAATATTGAATGTGATTTATACCTTGTCTGGAACAGGATAGCCCCCTGGGGATAGCACACCACTATGTAGCGTTCTACAGAGATTATCGCGATGGTACAAAGACTTGATATACCTAAAAAAAGAAATGTGTGAAAACAAAATTACTTTTTCATAGAACAGATTCCGGCTCATCTTTACACCAATTAATGAATATGTAAATTTAGAAGTAAAACATTTATTTTAGTACTAAACTTTGGAGTATTTACATTTGATGCCACTTAATACACTCAAATGGTTATATGAAATGTTTATTATATTAGCATGACTGCTATATTTACTCATTACTTTTCTTATACATTTTAAAATAAAACACATATTATAATTATACAATATATGACGATGAAATAAGAAATAAGGCAGAGTTTCCACACCTGCAAAAAATCATTGTTTGGTGGCTCTCATGTCACATTACAGCTGTCTCTTAGTAACTTTGAGAGAAAATGATCAAATATTTCACTCAGAAAGTAGAACATGTTTTACAAGAAAGTGTTCAATTATTTAAAAACAGAACTCTGTTTTCTCTGTTTGAATCCTTTATCATCTCCCAAAGCATCCAGATTTGTAGGGCTCTTTTGAAGGGGACAATTGGACTGAAATACCGAGGTGCTTATTAAGTTGTTAAAATAAGCTCAACCTCATCAGGCTATGAATGATGATATGTGTCAGCTATACAATCTTATAATGTAATATGTAAAAAAATGTTTGCCCCTGCAGAGCAAGTAACTTCTTATATTAACAATTGCACAATCTGTTGATACATCTTCTGTTCTTTTACTGAGGCTTTTTGTAAGTTGTAGGTTATGCTTTGTATCCGTATACAAAAGTAGGCATACTGCTTGGCTTTTGATTGACTCACCAAAAATGGAGACAGCAAAGCCCTCTAAAACACAGCCTGCGCGTCCCAGGCTGAAGTATCCCATGGCACTGGTTACTGTGTTGGGCAGACCTCCAAATACAGCACAGCCCAGGTCACATATGGCCAGATTTACTAAGGCGTAGCTGAGTGGCTGCCTCAGCTGTCTGTGTCTCACAGTCACCACAATCACCAGGACGTTGAGGAAGATCCCACACACGGAAAACACACCCATGATAACGGCCAGTATTGTGTAGCCAGTCCGAGACAGGAGCTCCTCGTTGACTGAACTGTGAGAGGATGAGGAGTTTCCATCATGTAAGGAAAGGTGCACCATCTTGATCAGTGAAAATGAAGAGGACCACTGGTCCTTCTTGAGATAAAAACAAATCCAAATGAAGTCCAGAATATCCACAGGTTAACAAATAGCAGTCTCACAGCGCTTAAACCAAAAATATATAACAATCCAACATAATTCCAACAGTATTACCAACTGATATGTTTCTTCAGCTGCAGCAGGGTGGCTGCTCTGGTGCAGCTCAAGAGAAGAGGAAGATGTGACCCTTTTAATAAGCCCAATGAGAGGTGGTAGGCTTTACACCATCTAATTCTTGAAAAAACAAATCCGCAGATCCAGATTGAGATGACAATAATTCAATCTGATTTCCTATAAGACTGCACTTTCCATGATTGCTGGGTTTACAGCTGCTCCTGAGTAATGAAACAGGGATTCAGTGGCACAATGTCTGTTTTAGGATCAGAGTTAAATGCATGCCTGCTTGTGAAATGTATAGAAAGAGCATTATGTTAATTCGCACATTTTAGTGACAGCAGGATTTGCACATGCACTTATTTTGGGGTGATTAACATTTCTCAGACAAAATAACTAAATATTTCAACTTTTTATTTTAAATCTACCAATGAATTAAGCCCCTTTCTAAAGAGTTCATGATGTCAGAGTAAGCTTTAGAAAAGAGTGTTACACCAGGACTGTTTAAGATGGATTGCTTGGCTCAAGGACACTATAGCAGGGTAGATATATAACCATCAATTCAGGCTCAGCTTCTATATTCAACGCAACTCAATTAGATCTAAAAGGGCTTTCTTGGCAGTAAAGTTTCAAGAAAAATTTAGCAATAACATTTTCAACATGTGTAGGCCACCGGCATTATTCCCCTCCGACCGATTACTACTATACTTGGTTAGGATTTATAGTTGCCGTCGTCCTAGTAGTTGAATCTAATCTAAAAAAAGAAATCTAATATAATCTAGTAATGGGCTATTGGCCCAGTAGGCCCACCCATAACACCGCGGCTGGGCTTTTTGTCTTTATTGATTTAATGTGAACAGATGGACCACAGCTTGTCCTTCATCCTGTATTTAACAGTTAGACAAGGTACATTTTTAAAACCAGGTTTATCCTTTTTTTGGTTCAGCCAAAGGAAGTCTTTTATTCTCTCTATGTGGTTTTATTGTGGGTTTTATTCATAGGTCAGAAATGTGGATGTTAATTCTCCTCCCATTCACCAGAGGGCGATGAAGACTGAAGCCGAGCTCGAGCGCATTAAAGCTGCTGAGTTTGAGCACTGGCGGTAAACAACTACAGTCAACATGGCGGCCTCCGTGAGGAGAGCAGCCCACGACATAGAAACACGAAAGCGGACCGATGATGTGCTTTTATCGGAGGGAATAGACTTCAGCTCCCTGCTGCTCTCTCAGCCCGTGTTGGAGGGACTGTCCTCCGCAGGCTTCCAGAAACCCTCCCCTATCCAGCTGAAGGCGATCCCGCTGGGCCGCTGCGGACTCGGTGGGTTCATTTAACTGCGTGGGCCGCCCCACATGTTTACTGTTTCATAGTTTATTTACGTCTGTTTGGATAGAGAAACACTTCAGCTGACTGGATCTGCCATCTAAAGATGGAGCGAGAGAGAGGAGCTGTGGATTATTGTTATTTATTAAACGACGCTGAAGTTGGATTCCGATTCAGAGCATCTGATTCGGCAGTTAAGGGGAAAGTTAAGGGATATTTCATTTACAGCGCTGAGCGAACAAACCTCCTTGTTTTAACCTCTTAAATCGCTGCATAACCGATTTATTTGGACTGGATTATCCCAGAGAGTCTAAAGATTCTTTATAACACAGTTTCAGATTTGTGAAACCTTTATTCTATTTGTGAAAATACAAAAAAGGGAGATTTCAGTGCTTTTTTTACATGTAGACCACATTAGACCAGGTCCTGATCTGAAACCACTAGACCTACACTCATCAAATCTGGACTGGATTATCCCAGAGGGTCTAAAGATTCTTTATAACACAGTTTCAGATTTGTGAAACCTTTATTCTATTTGTGAAAATACAAAAAGGGAGATTTTGATGCTTTTTTAAAATCTAGACCACATTAGACCAGGTCCTGATCTAAAACCACTAGACCTAGACTCATCAAATCTGGACTGGATTATCCCAGAAAGTCTAAAGATTCTTTATAACACAGTTTCAGATTTGTGAAACCTTTATTATATCTTATACATTATCTTAACTCCAAGGGCAGCTGACAGTAATAAACCTCTGTGCTGCTCACATGCTGAAGTTGATCAGTATGAAGTTGTCCATGGTTCAGTGCAGAAAGGAGACAAAACTATTTTTTTGGTACTGTTTTGCCCTCCTTCAAAATGCTACTGTACTTGGCCAGGTATTATCAATTTCAAGGTGTATGGTACATGTTTTTTCATCAAAGACTAAAACTAATGGGTGCAAGAAACATCTCTCAGCACTGCAGGAGGCCATACGGACACAGAAGTCAGAAAATATCAATTTCAAAAATGAAGATGAAGACCACACACCTTCTGATTTTGAAGACATGGGGCGAGTCTCTGGATCCAGCAGCGTGCGTAGAGCCGAACAGATCCGTCTTGTAGAGAGTCACCTACAGACGAGTAGTGGAGTTCGAGTTGGAACCTGTTCTGACTTGACGAGGAAAAGGAAGACCCTTTCTAAACGAAGGGTGAGAACCTGGATTTGTTAGTGTAGCCGTGGAGACAACAAAGGGGCTGAGTGTGACCGTTCCTTAACCCACACTGGGATCTATTGTTTTGACAAGAAGTGACGTTTGTAAACGACGTTTTTTGGGCGACGACGTCTATGCTGCCGAAATGTTGTAGTCCTCCTAGTTGCAGGGGTCGCGCCTGGTCTTCTTGTCGGGTCCAAAGACCAGGTCCGAGAGCAGTAGAGTGCCGAATCCTGAGCGACGTTGCAGGGAGGACCGCGACCGACACGGACGTACACGGTAGCGCTGGAGACCGTCCGAGCAGGTATTACGTCCGCCGAGTAGACGCAGAAGTTGAAGGTTTCAAAAAGGCGTGTGGTGCCCGGCCGAGGAAGGTCAAGGGGAAAGTGACCCGAAGGTCATTGACCGATCTTGGTGAAGTTCTGTGACCATAACGCATGGGGTACGACGCTACCTAGACCGGAGGAGGATGGTAGGTCCTGTACCAATATGGCGATGTGGGCGGTCGTGGACGTGGAGGCGGGCCGTAGTTTCGGTTTGTCGAGCGACGTGCGGTGTGACGCTCCCCTGGGTTCAGGGTAGTCGTTTTGTGTACCCAAAAGATAGGACCCGAAGGTTTTACCACCTTACTCGAGGGGTAACTTTAGTCCTCCGTCCGCTCTTCGAATGTGTAGAAGTCGGTGTCTGACTTTTGAGAGAGAAGCTGAAGGATTGAAGTTTCGCTTATCTCATATGATTGTTCGTGAATATATGATTATTTCCTGAGCGCCGACATAGATTTCGATCAACTCATCCGGTGAACTTTACAAAGCCGAGATACTTTTGGGACCTACATGAAATACTCTAGACAAAAGAAGTTCCAACAATAGAAGGCCCCAGCTTCATGAATAACATTCAGCCGAAACCTATTTTCACAGTCGCATTTACATTCCATTTAAATTACAGAGGAAAAATAACCGTTCTACGTCGCCACATGTCCTCCCAAACAGGGTGACACGACGTTCACCAAACAGTGTAACTGTGTCAAACGACGAGGTTAACAAGGAGAGAGGAGGGGTTACACCTGTCGTAAGGGAAAAACGAAAAGGAACCGTAGACAAAGGTCTGTCAAAATATGAAAAAAAGAGACTCGTCAACCTCATCCCACCCGACTTCATGAAAACTGAAAAGAAAAGGAACGCAAAATGAAGCGAAGAAGGTACAGAGGAGGAACACTGTCTCCTTCACAGAGACCGCAGGAGTCTAACAGAAAACAGAAGTCGGCATACAAAAAAACTTCCTATTTGGACAAAAAAAGTAATAACCGTTGCGGGAAACTCAGAAGGTTGGTGTTTGAGAACGACATCGACCTCTTTCAAGAGGACGAGAAGACACGTTAAAACTACTTTCCCTAGTGAAAAAAACAACACGCCTTGGTCAAGAGATGTTGTCGGTAATGACAGTGTCCAAAAACGGTTCTAGAAATTCGTAGTCTGGACAGGGTTTCTCCCGGTGTCATGGTCGCATTACCTCTTAATAAAGGGTGTTCACAGAGTGTATTTACTCCTAAACCGACCCGTACCGAGGCAAAATTCAAGTAGGAGGAAGGGACGAAGGAGGAACACGGAGGAGAAACTATCCTCGTTTCTTTCCCCTACTAAAACTCTCCT